TCCTACACGTTTCCTGCATGTTTTGGATCATGTACACAGCTGACCATATTAATAACACTCCTCTAGAAACTCATGAAGGCCAAAGGGACATTTCAGCTGTTAGATTAAGGCGGTAATAAGACAAACTCACAGTGAGGTGATAAGTTTAATTTACGGTTTAACCACAGTGAATTAATAACAGACACTAGGGGGTGCTAAAAGCAAGCAAAACTGCCTAAGATTAGTTTTACACAGAGTATGACACACAGCCTGATATCCTGTATTTGCCCAAATTGATCTAGTTTCACCGGAGAGCCCAGTCCTGGTTCCAGTATCCGTTATGTGGAGACTCAGTCGATGCAGATCGGCGCCTCCTACAGTCTGCAGTTCTCTCTGGTGATGGGCTGTGGCCGCGAGCCGTCCCCTCACATCGACACTCAGGTTCGTCTGGAGTTCTCCACAAATCACGGCCTCACCTGGCACCTGGTCAAAGAGGTAAAAACATTATTCAACATCTTTGTGTTTTCTTTCATGGTTAAAACTGTATTAGTTACCCTGCAGAAGCACAGGGAAACATTATTTATGCATGATGATGAATACTGATTTTACTCATTACTGCCTCTGTGATCATATGTAAATAATGCCTAAATGTGGCCATTTATTTCAAATGACAAATCATCACAATTTGTTTTAATCACTTGATCAGTGAATATGCGGCTGCACTTGAATCAGCAGGCAGATTATCTCCTTCAGATTTAACAAGGATTCTTTTTTTTATCATCGTAGAGAGCTCATGAATATTCAAGCAATCCTCTGAGATTTTTCATTTCCTCTGGAGCTCAGACCATAATGAGTCCTCCATCAGTGACTTTTCTCTAATTCTCTCATGTGCATGAAAAGGCAGTCATCTGGCATGTACAGATTGTAACTCACTAAAAGTTCTGAAATGTTAATCCAGGCTGATCTTTCAGTGTTCAAGGTTAGAAACGCATAAAGACAACAGTCATGCGTTTTTAATTTGTTACTGATGAGGCCGTACCTGCTGTGAAGCATGATTAAACAAAACTAAATCATGAAGATCTTTTCTGCTTGTTTTTATTTTAAGGCTTGTCTACCTGGCATGCCCAGCTGCTCTGAGTTTACAGCTCCCAGTGTCTACCACCCATCAGAGTTCAAAGACTGGAGACGCGTTACTCTGCCATTGCCTCAGAAGACATGGTGAGCAGAACGTTAATAACGATCCTTTTGGAAGAAAATACTCTCTGACCCTGGGTTTCTATTTTTTATTTGCTTTATCTTGGATTACCTGCTTGAAAAGCATTCAGATTCACCATAAAGTGCAGAAACTGGGAGCTAGAAGAAGGATTTGATTTTTACTTTAGATGGCTGTCCATATATGGTCCCATACCCATCCTAAAAATTCTTTTCACTATTGTTAGTCCACATTTCTGAAAGAGGACACCTAAAGAGGTCCTTCACTGTGAAACTAATGTTTACTTTTAATATTGAACATGATTAGCCCCTCTGAGTTTTTCATGCAGGCTGAAAATGAAATAGTCTCCTGCACCTACCTCATGCATTGGCTTATGATAGAAAATATGGTGACATGCTAGGATTTAAAAGCCTGACAGACCTACGTCACACTGTCTGCTAATGGTCATTGACTCACCCGTCTTGGCTCACAACGAGGAAGGCTGTTGTTGGTTTAATGTCCAGGAAACAGCAGAGAACATCTGGGCTAGCAGAAGCTAACCGTTAGCAGCTTCACCACGCCGCGGAACATCTTCGGCTTGGGCTATTTGTGGAGATAAAACATCAACATTGCAGAGCCAACATCGTCAGTGGTAGAGTTGTGTTGCTGTTATCTAATTATCAGGAATTAAGAGTGAAATTTCTGTCGTTTGAAGCTACTATCTCATCTGGCTGACTTCTCCGTGCTGAAACAGACACACCGCAGCTTTTATTTCCCACATCTTATGACTTGCAAGGCATTTATTCCTGAAAAAGTTTTAAAAATATGAGTAAAGATAAAAAGCAACCATGAAAAGTCAACAGCAGGTCACATTTTCTACATGAATCTTCAATTGTAATAAAAATACTTTACTTACCCCTTTCAAGTTTTGCTATCCTTTTTTTTTTAAAGTCAAGTTTTACCAAAATGCACTTCCATAATAGACCATCGGATCAACATGGTTCAATGTTGATCAGATGATCCGTTCATAGAATGATCTGACCAAATCAATTCTGAACAGATTATGTGAAAATAGAATTAGACATGAAAGCATGCTTGGATGTAAATGTTAAACCGAGTTTTGAACACCTCAGACAAGGATCCAACCACCATGTACCAAATGTTATAGGTTAATCTGATGCTGCAGACTCGTATATCAGCTTAGAGAATCACATGAACCTTTCACACCGAACACCATAATTTTCTTCCCTGTTTCGTTTGACCACCCAAGATCCCAGCTTTATGGCGGTCTAATCTCCTGCAGAGCATGATTGCAGGTCAGAGGGGTCATGGCCCTTAATGATAATAAAACAGTCATGACCAGGTTCCATGATTACATGGTGGACTGACATATGTGACCAAAGAAGACCATTTGACCTCTATGGTGTAAAAATGTAAATTGATTTTTACTATAGCTCTAACATAAACACCGCATCCACAGACATCACTCCTCACTACTGTTGATTTTTACCTCCAGAGTGTTAGATAGATACACCACTGTCTTTCCCTATAAAACACTAAATTGATTTTAACAGGATGTGAAACTTGTTAGACCAGCAATAACTCTCGCGTGCGCTTACATTGCATCACCAGTCTTGTCTTTATGACAGAAGTGTGTGTCCTGTTTTGTGTTCAGGTCGAGTGCGACACGGTTCCGCTGGATCCAGAGCTACTACGGTGAGCAGGACGAGTGGGCCCTGGACGACATCTACATTGGTCAGCAATGTCCCAGCATGTGCCACGGACACGGCTGGTGTGACCACGGACATTGCAGGCCAGTCCTCACCCCCAGATACATGTTTACTGTGTGAGTCAGCGCAGGTGAATAAAACTTTTTTTTTGTCTCACAGGTGTGATGATGGATTTTCTGGAGCAGACTGCCAGCCGTCCTCCCCCCTGTCATCTAGTGTTCTCTCAGATTTCGAATCCCAGGATGCATTGCTGGTGACGTGGCAGGAGGTGATAGGTGGAGAGGTGGTTGCTCCTGACATGGGCTGTGGTGTGGTCTCATCTGGATCATCGCTGTACTTCAGCAAGGTGGAGTATGAAATTAGCTTCACCCAAAACCAAATCAAGTAAATGTAGGTGTAAATGTACAGCTGGGACTGGTTAAATTGGTTTTATTTTAATGGATTTAGGATAGAAACACTGGCACTGATTCCTGAGTGTTTTGGCACGCATCAAGCTCCAGATTGAACATGTGGTTAATTTGTGTTGTTAAAACAAATCGTTTTAGAGGATTGTGCAAAGTTGGCGGAGGTAGGCATTGCCTGATTACTGTCTAGTGTTTGCTGCCGAAGCTTGCTTCCTTTTGAACTTTAAATTGCAGTGAAAGGGTCACACAGCATTCTTCTATCGCTACTTTGATTGGACTGGAAGTGAGCAACAATATTCAGGCAGCTGCGCATCTGTTGTCACATGTTGTTGCAGTCTAGATTTCAAATGTTCATCTTTTTAAAAAACACTTTCTCTCCGTGTGGTGTTTAAAAAAAACTGATTCATATGTGTGAATGTGTGTCTTGTTAGGCTGGACTGAGGCAGCTCATGAGCTGGGACCTGGACACTGAGTGGGCGGAGTTTGTTCAGTTCTATCTGCGGGTGGGTGGAGACTGGGCGGAGTGCAACCAGGCAGACAGCAGAGAAGAAGGAGTTCTGCTGCAGTACAGCAATGATGGAGGCATCAGCTGGGGTCTCATAGCTGAGATGTACTTCACAGACTTTACCAAGCCTCGGTAAAACAAATCAAAAATAAAAATGCAGTTAATACAAAGAAAACGAATATTTTTCATGTGACTTGGACTAAAAAATTATTTCCATTCACAGCTTTGTCCATTATGAGCTTCCTCTGGCGTCTAAAACTCCCTCTACAAGACTCCGTTGGTGGCAACCTCTTCACTCCGGAGAGGGCTATGACCAGTGGGCGATTGATGATGTCATAATTTTATCCGAAAGGGAGAAACACATCATCCCGATGGCCAGTCCGACTCTACCACAGGTCTAGAATTGGTTTGAAATGTTTTTTCCTGTAATTTCTGTAGCATTGTTGGCTTTCTCCAAAGATGATTTCATTTAGAAATCTTAAAAACAACTGACACAACAAAAACCTGCGGCTTGTTTTCTGTGCAGAACTTTTATGAGAAGCCAGCTTTTGACTACCCTCTGAACCAGATGAGTGTTTGGTTGATGCTGGGTAACGAAGGCATGGAGAGGGAAAACAATGACAGCTTCTGTGCGCCCACCCCGTCTGCGATGGTGTTTGGACGTTCTGATGGGGACAGGGTGGCTGTCACCAGGGACCTGGCCCTTCGTCCAGGATACACACTTCAGTTCAAAGTGAGAATTGAAGAAAAAATTAAGCCAATAAATCAACATCAAACTAATTGAAGGACATAAAATGCATTTTCTTTAGTTGAAATTCTCCTTGTTTCGTGACCATCCCACCAGCTGAACATAGGCTGTGAGTCAGAGTTCAGCCCGTCGGCCCCAGTCCTGCTGCAGTACTCCCACGATGCTGGTCGCTCCTGGGCTCTGGTCAGAGACGGCTGTTACCCAGGAACCCCGGGTGCAGGAATTTGTGAAGGCAGTGGTCGTGAGCTAAGAGAACCCACCGTCTACAACACCGGGGACTTTGAACAGTGGACCAGAGTCACTGTGATCATACCTCGTAATGTTGCAGCCAGGTAGCTATGGTAACAGACATGTAATTGCATCTGTGTGTTGGTGTTTCTGCAATGTTCTTTAAAAAATGGGAGTTCCTAATACAAATGACCTCTATTCTCTTGATTTTATAAACTTTAACCACCTTATTGTCTCACTTCTAAGTAAAACCAGATTCCGCTGGTTCCAGGAGAGTAGTGTGTACCGGGATGCACCACCGTTTGCCTTGGATGGGGTTTACATCTCTGAGCCTTGTCCAAACCACTGTGGAGGACACGGTGACTGTATCTCTGGAGTCTGCTTCTGTGATATGGGCTACACAGGTAGAGTAGCAACACCAAACGAAGGAAAACATTCAAGACATCTTATTATTTCGCTCCTTTTAACTTCTGCTTTTTTTTAAGTTGAGCAGGATAGCTGTGTCCCATCTGCAGCCAGTCCGACGGAGCTGACTGAGGGGTTTGAAGGAAAGTTGAGTCCACTCTGGCAGAGCATTAGTGGAGGACAGATTGGAGGAGGCTGTGGCATCATTGGTGAAGGCAAGGCTCTGTATTTCAGCAGTTCTGGATGGAGAGAAGCTCGAACAGTTCCTCTTGACACAACCAACACCCGGTAAGTAAAATATTCTAACCTAAATACCGCTTACAAAGTTACAGCGAAAGGGATGAGAATGATATCCAGTTTTGATGTTTGTACACAGACTGGCTCAGTTCTACATACGGATTGGTAGTAAGAGTTTGGGACCCACCTGCACTAGACCACGCTCACGCAATGAAGGTACGTTTGAAACTTGACCTACTGTCCCTCTGATGGATCTAGCCTGACTCCATATCTCACAGAGAAAACCCTTTCTTGTGCTTTCAGGTGTCATTGTCCAGTTTTCCAGTAACAACGGTGTCCAGTGGCAGTTCCTGAGAGAGCTTGACTTTAGTTCTTTTTTGGAGCCCCAAGTAGTGACCATCGAGCTTCCACCTCCAGCGAAAACCTCCTACACAGTATTCAGATGGTGGCAGCCACAGCAAGGTCAGTCATCTTGCAGAACATTGCAGAAACACCAACACATAGATGCAACATTACATCAGTCATCTACTGAAGAACCCACCGTCTTATAACACCAACAGTGGTGAATCCATTTTGTTTGTTTTTTGTTATTTATCCTTCTTTAAATCCATCCCACAGGAAAGCACTCTGCCCAGTGGGCCCTAGATGATGTTCTGATTGGAATGAATGACAGCTCCAGAACAGGTTTCCATGACAAATTTGATGGAACGGCCCCTCTGAGACACAACTGGTACCGTATTCAGGGAGGGGAGGTGATCGTGGACTGTCTGTCTCTGGACACGGCACTTACCTTCAATTCTGAGGCCATAGACAGTGAGTTAAAGTTAAAGTCCCATTAATCATCATACACTGGTGAAATTCATCTCCACATTTGACCCATCCTCATGGGGAGCGGTGAGCTGCAGCTTTGGCCGTGCTTGGGAACGATTTGGTGATTTAACCCCCCAATCCAACCCCTTAAAGCTGAGTGTCAAGCAGGAAGGCATTGGGTCCCATTTTTTTAAAGTCATCGGTATGACCCGACCGGGATTTGAACCCGGATCTTCCAGTCACAGGGCGAGGCAAACTCATTCATCTACTTTCTCCCCAGCTTTCATTAATTCCAACACAATTCACAAAAATGCTGACGTACCAGCATGAGTGTGTAATGCATAGCTCAAGTGCGTGTATTACACTCTGGACACATGCTTCGTATTCACACCTAGAGTGCTCAACAAGCCTTACAAGTGGCTGTACAGGATCATCACAGCACCACAAGCTGAAACTGAATCTCTAGTTTACTGTGACGGCACGGGTCCTGCATTATTAATGAGAGCAAACCTGACTGAACTTCCTGCCTGTTTTTCATTCATCCGCCAAGCTGCCAGTGGATTTTGTGCTAATATTGAATCACAAAGGAATGTTCGTTAAGCACGCTCAGCAGGACTCCTGTGTGAACACGAATTCATAAGACACCGAACTCAGTCAGTAAATTCGAAGATGTGTGATATGTGAGGAAAAAGTTAATTCAGCTTCTAATTTTAATTTTCTTTCATTTGCCTGAATTTAACAGAAGCTAATAATTTGTAGGAATGTTGATGTCCGATTTGGCTCTAAATCCTTTATAAAGTGTCACGAATAAAATCAGTTTGTGTTTCATTTTATTTAGTAGTCATTTATAGTTGTGATTTGCTGAATTTTAGCTTATTATCATCTGCAGCCCTAACTACGTCTAGTTTGGCTCACTGTTTGTAAAAGATAAGTACGTTTAAGGTAATAAGGGTCATAATGCATATATTTAGTGTGCTGTTGTGCATTCATGGTTTTTGCAGCCTGGCATCGGACTTTGCTAGATGCAGGAGTAAAAGCTGTTTCCCTGTTTGCAGAGAAGCCGAGGTATGCTGAAAGCTGGGACTTTGAGGTGACGGGTTCATCATTCCTGCAGTTTGAGCTGAGCATGGGCTGTAGTAAGTCCACCTCCTTCTCCCACGGCGTAAGACTGGAGTTCTCCACAGACTGTGGTCGTCATTGGTCTCTCATTACCCCGGAGTGTGTGCCCCCAGCCATCGGCTGTGCTGGTTACACCCAGAGCTCTATCTACACATCGACTCAGTACAAACACTGGAGAAGGATCACCGTCTACCTGCCTAGTGCTGCCAAGTACATGTTCTATAGGACAAGTAGATCTAACTTTTACATTTGATCAATAAAATGCTGACTCTCCTGATGATGTTTGATCCCTTCAGTTCTCCGAGGACCAGATTCCGTTGGATCCAGACCCACTTCACCCCAGGGGCTGAAGGTTGGGCTTTAGATAATGTGCTACTTGCTCCTGGTTGTCCGTGGATGTGCTCTGGCCATGGTCTATGTGACAATGGACGCTGTGTGTACGTAAATCTAACACGCTTGTTTCCTGGAATGTCGTTAAAATCCCATCCCCATTGAGTTCGATCCAAAACGTCTGCCTTTATTTGATTGTTTCCCATTCATTTATTTATTTTCCTTCTCATAAGGTGTGATAAGGGTTATGGGGGGGCACACTGTGTCCCTTTGGCCCCGCTGCCATCTGTCCTGAGAGAAGACTTTAATGAGAACTTACAGCAGGAGACCTGGCCCGAGGTTTACGGAGCAGAGAGGGGAACTCTGAGTGGAGAACCTCTCAAATCTGGCACTGCTCTTATTTTTAAAGGGGTAGGGGTCCTAAACGCAAACAGAGATGAATCAGAGCTGAACTAAAATCACAATGACTCAAATGATCTCCTCTATTTGTTTTAGGATGGTCTGCGAATGATCGTTTCAAGAGACTTGGACTGCACAAACACTCTCTACATCCAGTTCTCTTTTAAATTTATCACTAAAGGTACTTCCATCCATTCCTCCTGGTTTAGCTTTGTTTAGTTTATGTTTTTTTCCTCAGGAGACGGTATAGTACTAATAACTCATTTGTCCTAGGTGTCCCAGAACGGTCCCACTCAGTGTTGCTGCAGTACTCTGTGAACGGAGGAATCAGCTGGCTGCTGCTGGATGAGTTTTACTTTCCAGCTTCCACAGACTCTCTGTTCCTCCACCTGCCTCTGCCAGCCAGCGCTCAGACCAACGCCACCCGATTCAGACTCTGGCAGCCTTACAACAGTGGTGAGTGGACTCACTATGAGGAAGCATGACGACCTTTAAGCTTGCATAATCACCTCAATCATACTTTGTCCTCAAGGAAAAAAGGAAGAGGTGTGGGTAGTAGATGATCTCATCATCGATGGCAGCTCTTTGCACAAACCACCGGTGGTGATCGACACTTTTGAGGAAGGTCCCAACGAGTCAAACTGGCTTTTCTATCCTGGTGGGAACATTGGTCTCTACTGCCCCTATCAGAAGACCGGCCTGTAAGGAAAAATCAGTTACCGAGTTTGATCTATGTGCTCACTGGGGATGAGACCTGTAAGAGGATGTTTCAATAATCTTGGTGTTTGTGTGTGGTTTGTGTGACTGGTGCAGAGAGGAAGATGAGTCAGCCATGGTGTTTGTCTCCAGTGAGCTCGGAGAGCACTCCATCACCACCAGGGACATTGACGTAAATGAGAACACCATCATCCAGTTTGAGGTACACAAAGTTCTTTTCAAATCAGTATTTAAAATGTGTTTTCAGCACAGGGCAGACCCTTCATTTCCCTGTGTCTGTTTGTGTCTGTAGATCAACGTGGGCTGCACAGCGGAGAGCTCCTCTGCTCACCCGGTGCGCCTGGAGTTTTCACGGGACTTTGGCGCCACATGGCACCTTTTGGTACCGCTGTGTGCTGGTGGTCCTCAGCCCTCGTCCCTTTGCTCCACAGAACTTCACCCTGCCAGCATCTATTTCCCTGGTACCACTCAGGGTTGGAGGAGGGAGGTCATTCACTTTGGAAAGCTTCGCCTGTGTGGGTAAGAGCTCTGCACAGCTGCTACGCAACAAATGTATTCCTACTTCCTAAGATTGTTGCTACCTAACTTTTTCACTACTTTTATCTCAAACACAGGTCAATAAGGTTCCGTTGGTACCAGGGATTCTTCTCAGCTGGTTCTGCTCCTCCAACGTGGGCGCTCGATAACGTGTACATCGGTCCGCAGTGTCAGGACATGTGTAACGGTCATGGAGCCTGTGTGGGTGGGGCCCACTGTGTGTGTGATCCTGGATACTCTGGACCTGACTGCTCTGTGCCTGATACCCCCAATCCTGACTTCCTTAAGGAGGACTTTGAAGGTATGAAGGAGTCGAGTTGCCTCGTGCAGGTCTTTGATTGCTGAGGAAATCCTGAATGCAAAGAACGTTGTTGGAACTGAAACTGATCCTGGATCAGATAATCTGGTTAAGATCTGTAAGATCTTTGTTGATACATTTAGTCTTTTTTCAGTCATTAGAACAACTCGGCAAAGATTTGAATCCGACACGCTCTTAAGTCACTGTGTTCTTGTACTTGTACACGTCCCATTTCATACTCCAGTGATTTCTTAAGTATGCAGTCAATGCTTTTGCCTTCATTGTGTTCTCGTTTTCTGCTATTTTAATGATTATTAAAGCAACTTAGACTTGTTTTCTTTTACATGCACCTACTTGTGTGTTTAAAGTGACGGTGTGTGTTTTCCCTGGCAAACAGTGGACAGTATATAACGAAATCATTGCAAACAACTGTATTTTTGTGTTTGAGTGAGACCTTACCAACGGATGGCCCTTAGGGTCAAAAATCCCTGGCAGTATTTTGTCAGATCGTTCAACCTCCAGCAAACTGACAAGCACAACAGACTCCCTTTCATCGCTGGCAACAAGTGGACGTTTATGAAAGCTTGTCACAAATCAGTAAATACATTTTGTCCTCACGGGCTCACGTAGAAGGAAACATGGCGTCCCTGAGAGACAGACTCGCATTCATGTTTTTAGATCTGATTTTCATGGTTATATGTTACAAAGTTGCCAATATTTTTCAAAAATTGAGCATCATTAAATTAATTTTTAATAACTTTTTCAATTAATCTCTGCAGAGATTTAACAGTAAAAATGACACATTATTGCTTTAAGGTGGAGTTGTGGATGCTGAGCGCTTCACACTCATAAGTGGAGGGAAACCATCCAGGAAGTGTGGAATCATGTCAAGTGGAAACCACCTATTCTTCAGTGAGGATGGTTTACGTATGTTAGTCACTAATGATATGGACCTGTCAAATGCAAGGTACACCAACCTGAAAACAAACATACATTTTAGACATTTGAGGTTCTACAGATTACAGTAAAAACCCTCGAGAGTTTATGCTTGTCTCTTTGTAGGTTTGTTCAGTTCTTCCTGCGCCTCGGCTGTGGGAAAGCAGCCCCAGACCCTCGCTCTCAGCCTGTTCTGCTGCAGTTCTCTGTGGACGGTGGTCTTACTTGGGGTCTCCTGCAAGAGTTCGTCTTCAGTAACAGCAGCAACCAGGCCCGTCTGGTGGCACTGGAGATCCCACTGCGTGCCCGCACTTCATCTACTCGTCTGCGTTGGTGGCAGCCCTCAGGAAATGGACACTTTTACAGCCCGTGGGTTATAGATCAGGTGCTTTATGAAGTGACCAAACAAACAAGCATCTGCATGTAATTTCAGATCTCTTACAAATACATCTGTTCAATACTTATGTTTTGTTGCGTAGGTGGTGGTGGGTGGCAGCGCCAGTGGGTGGGGACCACTTGAAGATGATTTCTCCTCAATTGATGGCCGCTCCTGGCTCCTTCACCCTGGGGGAACCCGGATGCCTGTTTGTGGTTCGGACGGACCTGCTTTTGCCTTCATAGAGAAGTCTAACACACGCTACGCTGTCACCACGGACATCAGTTTGGGTCAAGATGCATTCATCCAGTTTGACTTTTCTGCATCCTGCTCTGTCACAAGCTCCTGTTACTGTAAGTTACAGAAAACATTTAAGGTTAAATCACTTATTTTCACTAAAACGACTGTTAAACAGATGAATGATGCTTAGTCAGCGAGACACAATGACGGGAGAACGATGTGGGATTAGGTCAACAGGCGTCTGTCTCTTGTTTCTCTGCAGCTGTGGAGATGGAGTATTCGTTGGATCTAGGTCTGACCTGGCAGCCGGTGGTCAGAGATTGTCTGCCAACAAGTCCTGACTGCTCCTCCTACACTCTGCAGCGACTTCTCATTTCCGACACCTACAACAAATGGGGCCGTGTTACTTTGCCTGTTCCATCCTATGTCCGGTTAGAGATCCTCTGTTCCTTTAATGAAATATAATGTGTCGTGTTTAAAAGAAATAGCCGATAACTGGTGGTGGCGCATTAGATTTGCAAACCTAAATGTATTATTGAGGATTGAAGTAAATTACATGCTGGAACGTTTGCATTCCCAGTTGAGGTTTTGTTTGTCTTTGTCGTCAGATCTCCTGCCACAAGGTTCCGCTGGTATCAGCAGGCTCCGTTTGACAAGCAGCAGACCTGGGCTCTGGACAACCTTTACATCGGAGACGGCTGCCCTGATATGTGCTCCGGACACGGGCGCTGCCAGCAGAGCACCTGTGTGTAAGTAACACGCCTACAAGATGTTCACATGTGTGAGTTCAAGCTTTTTTCAGTTAAAAATCTGTATCTCTGTGTCTGAATCCTCCATCCTGTACAGGTGTGACTCAGAGTGGGGAGGAGAGTACTGTGATGAGCCCGTGGTTCCTCTGCCTTCCCAGCTGAAGGACAGCTTCAGCCGAGCGCCCTCCCTCAGCCACTGGCACACGCTTACCGGTGGGAAACTCAGTACTGTGTGTGGAGCCGTGGCCTCTGGAGCAGCGCTGCACTTCAGTGGGGTGAGTCTTTTTCTACTTTGTTTGAAATTTGTCTGTTATTGATTATTTTTCTGTTGTTACAAAAGTTCCATCATAACAAATGATTATATACAATGCAAGATGGTTAAATTAAGTCATATATTCTTTGCACATATCCTCTGGGTTATGCTTTGGTTTAGTTTTCAGCATCCGGCAGGTAAATAAAAACCCACAAAGAAAGAAGATTTCAGCCTTTACATGCTGATGGTATAGTGAGCGAGTTCAGCTGTTTCCATCTTGTTTTGAATCAACTCAGTAGATTCTGTAATTAAAAACATTAATTTAGAATTTATTTTTCTTTGATTATTCATTCCTTGACGTTTTTGTTTTTGTGCAGGCCTGCAGCCGTCAGCTGGTGACCGTGGACCTGAACCTGACCAACGCAGAGTTCATCCAGTTCTACTTCATGTATGGCTGCATGGTCCCACCCAGTAATCGAAACCAGGGTGTCCTGCTGGAGTATAGTCTGAATGGAGGAATCAACTGGCATCTACTGACAGAGATCTTCTACGACCTCTACACCAAACCTGGGTAAACACTATTACACATGAGTGCATGTGGCATGGTAGGCAGAACATCCAGGGATCTGTTTGTGTCTTTTCAGGTTTGTGAATGTGTTGTTGCCCCCTGCTGCCCGTCAGGAAGGAGTCCGTGTGCGCTGGTGGCAGCCACAGCATGAAGGTGCAGACCACAGCGACTGGGCGGTGGATAACGTCCTCATTGCAGGCTCAGATCCTCGGGCGCAGATCTCTGATACGTTTGGAGGGGTGGCACTTCCCAGCCACGAGAGATCCCCCGCTGACGAGACTTCAGGAAAGACTGATCTGCTGAGTGAAGAGGAAGATGCACCAATCGGTATCTCACATTCAATGCATTTAATTACTAGAATGGTATATTTGAGTTGTTTCATAACTGTGTTTGTTTCTAGTGAGCAATCACTGGCTGTTCTCAGAGGACTGCTCGGTGCAGCACTTCTGCAGCTCGCCTGATGGTGTGATGGTGTGTGGAAATGCTGATGGGAGAGAGGTGTACGCTGTCACGCATGATATTCTGCCAGGGAAAGGCTGGGTCATGCAGTTCAAGGTGGTTAATAAGTCTTAAATGACCTATTTATCATTCCTACTTCAAAAGGTCCATTAGTTATGTTCAGATGATGCTGTCTCCTTCAGATTGCCGTAGGCTGCAACGTCCCAGATCGCCCTGCAGATCGGCAGGTTCATGTTCAGTATTCAGTAGATTTTGGGGTCACCTGGAAGTATCTGGTTCCTCAGTGCCTGCCTGCTGACCCTCGCTGTGGTGGTCAGGTGTCTCAGCCATCGGTCTTCTTCCCAGCTGAGCGCTGGAAGAGGGCAGTGTACCCGTTCCCTGACAGCCTGGCTGACACGTGAGTCCGCTCCCATCCGGCTGTTTTTATTATTTAACTCTGTGTAATACTTAACTAATTTGCTGCGTTGTTTTCAGCGCGGTGCGGTTCCGGTTCTATCAACAGCACTCGGACATTCAGTGGGGCGTGGAGAACCTGTACATCGGGCCAGCCTGTCACAGCCACTGTGGGGGACACGGAGACTGTTTGGATCAGCGCTGCATCTGCGATCCCGGATTCACCGGACCGAACTGCCACGCCAGCACAGCTCTGAAGGTCACTTTAAAAATAAAATCAAAATAGACTACTTGTTATTTAGAGAAGTTCTATGATTCAGACTCATATGTTTGTGACTTTGAAGGCGTCTCTGAAGGAGCGTTTTGACTGGGAGGGTTCGTCAGGCCCTCAGTGGCAGGCTCTGGAGGGCGGTAGGCCCTGCACCGACTGTGGCGTGCTGGTCGAGGGGACAGCCTTGTACTTTGGAGGAGCTGACGCCAGGCAGGCTGTCACTGCTGACCTGGACCTCCGGGGGGCAAAGTCAGTTCCTGACAGTTAGAACGCTTCTATCAACTTTAAATCTTTAACCACATGTTTTAATGGCGACAGGTTTGTTGAATACTGGGCCAGGATCGGAAGTGAGGACAACACGACAATGTGCCACCGTCCAACTTGTCGTAAAGAGGGCGTGCTGCTGGATTACTCCACTGATGGAGGTGGACAAACGTGATTTATTTGTTCAATTCCATCACGTTTTCTTCCTTTGGTTCTCTAACACACTCATTCTGTTGACACACAGGTGTGTCATGGACACTGCTGCATGAGATGGACTATCTAAAGTATGTGTCAGTGAGGAGAGACTACATCGTTCTACCTGAGGGCGCGCTAACAAACGCCACCCGCCTACGATGGTGGCAGCCTTTTACTATTTCTTCAGGCCTGGCGTCTCCAAGCTTGGAGAGAGCTCAGTGGGCTGTGGACAACATCCTAGTGGGGGGGTCAGATATCAACCCATCCACTCTGCTTGACACATTCGATGATGGTGAGTTTGTGTTGATGTAGTCAAAAATAAAGGGCATTAAAGAATAGATATCCTTTGATAGCGCCTCCTCTTTCATCCACCAGAGGGCATTTCTCATGAAGAAAGCTGGAGCTTTTATCCAAATGCTGTCCGCACTGCCGGCTTCTGTGGAAATCCGTCATTCCATCTGTACTGGCCGAACAAGAACCAAGACAGGACACACAACATCCTCGCCACAAGAGAGCTCATAGTTCAACCTGGATACATTTTACAGTTCAAGGTAAAGAACCGACGTGTTCTAGTGGAAGATCTGTCCTTTTTTGCTGTGGCCTCAGAACTATGACGTATTTTATTGTTACAGATTGTTGTTGGTTGTGAGGTAGACATGTGTGAAGACCATCATTCTGTCCTGCTGCAGTACAGGAAGGATGCAAGGTAGGAAATCCAAACAAGGGGCAGATGAGAAAATCCAGATTTAGATGAAACAATGTTTTTTTAAGAAATTGTTTTAAATGAGTTGCTTTCAGCTCATAATTTGTCCCATCAGGTCCGACTCATGGCAGCTGGTGCAGTCAGAGTGCCTCCCCTCCTCTGTAAACAACGTAGGCTGCTCTCCCTTCCAGTTCCACGAATCCACAATCTACAGTCCAGTCAACAGCTCGACCTGGACGAGAGTCACGGTTCAGCTGCCAGACCACGTCTCCTCAGGGTATTTGAGCAGTTAGCGGCTGGATGTTCCAACACCCTTGTATTGCAGACATGTTGATCGTTGCCACTTTGTTCTCATGTCAGGGCGACCCAGTTCCGCTGGATTCAGAAGGAGGGCACAGGAGAAAGGCACAGCTGGGGGGTGGACCACGTTTACATCGGAGAGGCGTGTCCAGGGCTCTGCAGCGGCCATGGGTACTGCACAAGTGGAGCCGTCTGCATCTGTGACGAAGGATACCATGGTGGGCCCCGAACAGCATACTAAATCAGCCTCATTCATTCATTCATTCATTCATTTCTTCGTTCGTTCATTCATTTGTTCATGCAAGCTCATTTGATAGAATTCATAGTTGGAATGAAAAAAACTCTGACACAAATGTCACAACGTTCGTAGCATGAATGATAATTTACTATTTTACTGATTTTTTGACCAAAGTATGTCCTCAAATAAACTAGACAATAATTATAAATGACACAAAAAAACTTGCGGATTGTGACCCGGGTGGTCACAGGTGCAAAAACCCGGCCGTGAGAGGAGTTCGGTGAGACCGTGGAGCAAGACTTCCATACGGCTTCGAGGAGATTCCGGACCACCATCCGGCACCTCAGGAGGGGAAAGCAGTGCGCTGCCAACACTGTTTATAGTGGGGAGGGTGTGCTGCTGATCTTGATTCAAGATGTTGTGGATCGGTGGACGGAGTGCTTCGAAGACCTCCTCTATCCCACAGGCACATCTTCCAGTGAGGAAGCGGAGTCTGGGGACTTTGGGTTGGGCTCTCCAATCTCTGGTGCTGAGGTCACTGAGTTGGTTAAAAAGCTCCTCTGTGGCAAGGCTCCGGGGGTAGATGAGATCTGCCTGGAGTTCCTTAAGGCTCTGGATGTTGTGGGTCTGTGTTGGCTGACCCGGCTGTGCAATATCGCATGGATATCAGCGGCAGTTCCACTGGACTGGCAGACTGGGGTGGTGGTTCCCCTAGTTAAAAAGGGGGACTGGAGGGTGTGTTCCAACTACAGGGGATCACACTCCAGAGCTCCCTGGTAAGGTCTATTCAGGGGTTCCGGTGAGGAGGGTCAAATGGATTGTTGAACATGTACCCATACTGCTAAAGTACCCCCCTTGGTAGGCCCTTTGGGGGGTACTTTAGGAGTATGGGGTAACAGGCCCTCTGATACTGGCTGTTAGGTCCCTGTATGAGCTTGGACCGCATTGCCGGCAGCAAGTCGGGCTCGTTTCCGGTGACAGTTGGGCTCCACCAAGGCTGCCCTTTGTCACTGACTCTGTTCATATCTTTTAAGGACAGGATTTCTAGGTGCAGTCAAGATGTTGAGGGGATCTGTTTTGGTGGCCTAAGAATTGATTATCTGCTTTTTGCAGATGATGAGATCCTGTTGGCTTCATCAGACAGTGATCTCCAGCTTTCGCTGGAGCGGTTCACAGTCGAGTGTGAAGAGACTCGTGACCATAGGTGAGGGTAGGGACGTAGATCGACCTATAAATCAAGAGCTTTGCCTTCCGGCTCTGCTCTCTCTTCATCACAACCGATCGGTACAACACCCGCATTACTGCAGATGCAGCACCGCCTGTCGATCTCACGCTCCATCTTTCCCTCACTCGTGAACAAATCCCAAAGATAATTAAACTCCCCTACTTGAGGCAGGACCTCGTCCGTGACCTGGAGAAGGAATTCTACCCTTTTCCGAATCAAGACCATGGTCTCAGATTTAGAGGAGCTGATTCTCATCCCAGCTGCTTCACACTCGGCTGGAAACCACCTCCAGCAAAAGCATCACGTTCTGATGAAGCCAACAGGACCACATCATCTGCAAAAAGCAGACTAAATTTTCAGGCCACCAAAACGGATCCCCTCAACACCTTGGGTTCGCCTTGAAATCCTGTCCATTAAAGTTATGAACAGAATCGGTGACAAACCGCAGCCCTGGTGGAGTTCAACTCTTACTGGAAATGAGCCCGACTTACTGCCGGCAATGCGGACCCAAGCTCTGGCACCGGTCATACAGGAACCTAACAGCTTGTATCAGAGGGCCTGGTACCCCATACCAATTTATCTATAAAGCACAATTTTAAACAGCATTGGAGCTGACCAAAGTACTGAACAACACAGAAGCAAATTATAAAACATAGTCAATAAAAACAGTTATTAAAATAAATACAGGAATATGCCCTAAAACAGCAATCATATTGTACAGGTGAACACACTAAAATGATTAATTGAAGGCGAGGGTGAAATAATGAGACATGAGATTGGACTTAAAGTGCTTGAGGGAAGGGCTTGCCTAATGTGCAGAGGGAGAGCGTTCCACAGCTTAGCGGCAGCATGCGAGAAAGCTCGCTCCTCGTAGGCGTTGTATCATGCAACAGGTACAGTTAATGACAGTTCAGTGGATCGCAGACACCGTTTTGGCACATAGGGATTAATGATGTCAGAGAGGTATGCAGGAGCCTGGACATGACTGATCTTTTAAACAAAGACCACAATCTTAAAATTCACACAAAAGGAGACAAGCAGCCAGTGCAAGCCAACAAGGATGGGGGTAATATGTATGCGTCTGTCAGAGTTGGTCAAGAAACGTGCCACAACCTCTGATTTTTTATACTGTGCAGGTGATGACTGCTCCCTCTCCAGCACCGACCTGCCCAGCTCCATCAAGGACAACTTTGAATCTGGCGGCGGGTCTCAAGAGAATTGGCAGCTGATCCAGGGTGGAGGAGTGGGCAGCGGCTGCGGACAGCTGTCCCCACATGCTCACGGCGACTCGCTCTACTTCAGCGGCTGCAAAATGAGGCAGGCAGTTACCAAACCGCTCGACCTCACTAGAGCCAGGTACAGGTAAACATTTATAATGAAAGATACTCAGGTCCTCCGTTCTCTGTATCAGGATCTGCTCTGAATAGCTTCCTCTTTAATCCTGTTCTTTCTTTCCTTCCAGTAAGATCATGTTTGTGCTGCAGATTGGCAGCGTGGCTCAGACAGGCAGCTGCAACATAGCTCTGGACCAAGCTGACACGGTGGACCGGGCCGTGCTGCTGCAGTACAGCGTCAACAACGGGGTCAGCTGGCACGTCATCGCCCAGCACCAGCCCAAAGATTTCATAAAGGCCCAGAGAGTCTCCTACAACATCCCACTGTGAGTGATACTCAGATGCTCGCAGCAATGAAAGATCATGAAGTATTCAAATGATTATATTAAAATCTTTACGTGCAGATTTCTTCATACAGAAACTAATCTAGTTTATAAAACATGACTGATAAAAGGTTTCCTACATAATTAGTAGAAATGATAGCTTTATTACCTTGCAACGTGTCCGAGAAGGAGCTGTTTTTTTAAAGTCATCAAAAGTTCTACTCTAAACGGACAAAACTTCACCCCTTGATGTCTCCTTGATCTCCCCAGTGAGGCGAGAGTTAAAGGGGTGATGCTGCGATGGTGGCAACCGAGACACGATGGAGCGGGGCATGACCAGTGGGCGCTGGACCATGTGGAAGTTGTTCTGTGAGTACCCAATTCCCAGCCCAGCTGTTGAGTGCTCCTGCGACCCAATGGGCTCCAGCAGAGCCCCCCCCCCCCCCCCCCCCCCCACACACACACACACACACCACCACCACCACCACCACACCCTACCCCGTCTTTACCTCTGTCTGACCTGAGTACAAATGGTTCCTTCCACTCCACACTGACTCAGGGAGACGGATCTAAGAACACGAACATGTGCCGTAACTGTTTTAAATGCTGATCTCAGCTCAGAGCAGATAATCTGCTCCAGGGTAGCTTACTGGAAAGGGTGCTGCTTGTTAATAGCTGTTTTATTTTTTTAACAGATCAACTCTTGCTGTCAGATCATGATACGTTCAGTGTTTTGTTGAGTCCAAATCGTGTTGACATAAAGAAATGAATTTAATCATCTTAAATGTGTTTTTATCAACTGCAATGACATCTTTTATTGTATTGTGCTCTTCCTGCAGCCAAAACCTCATCTGACAGACACCATTCTCACACAGTCACAATGTAAAGTTGTCTTATTATCGTTCAACAAATCTGTCCCCTAGTGGCTAATACAAGAATACAGCTGAACACATTTTCCAGAATATTATTTTTGTTCTGCACTAAGTTTCCAGAAGACAAACAGCTTCTTATTTAAAAACTAATGTCTTCCCTGGGTGCAGAAATAAGTCTCTCATAAAGCAACTTTTTGATCAGTTTTGTGTTTTTGTAAAATTACTCTGGATAAATCTCACTCTATTGTATACCTTCTTTATTCCAGTTTCAAATTAAAACACAGTTAAAAAAGATAAAAACACTTGATGGAGACTCTGCAGGATGCTGAAGATATCATGATCCTTGTTACTAAATACACAATCTAAACATGGCACCATCATTCTCTTCATGTTGCTGTTGCTTTTGGTGTTCAACTAAAGCATTTCAGATTCTAAACACACACACACACACACACACACACACACACACACACACACACACACACACACACGCACGCACGCACGCACACACACACACACACACCGCTGCCAAACCTGACCTGTCCCACTCACTCCTTTGCATTTGCTCAGTTTTCAACAGTGTCTGCTGAAAAGAGTGACCGTGACCCTCACACTCTGCTCTGTTGTTTATTTCTCTGCTCACCACTCCTTCACACACGTTTCCTCACACTCCTCCTGCTCAATCTTTTTCTTTTGCTTGTCTTGCCTTTCCTCCCTGCTGTGATAACGCCGCCGCCAATCACGTGTGTGTCCTCGCTGCAATGCATGAGTCGCATCCTTTCCTACCTTCCTCCATCATCCTCCTCTAACTTATTTTAATTATTTTATTCCTTCCTTGTTTTTTTACCATCTTGGCATCCAACAAACTGATTCCTGTTCTTTCTCTCCTCCAATCTACCTTCTTTTATCGCTACATCTTTGTCACACGTCTCCACTAACTCTCCTACTTTCTCTTTCTCACCCTCTCTGTTTTTCCCACTCACTCACTTATCTTCCTCCCTTCTCTCTCTCTCTCTCTCTCTCTCTCTCTCTCTCTCTCTCTCTCTCTCTCTCTCTCTCTCCAACTTTGGGTCTCTGCCTCCCCAGGCTGGGGCTCCTACCCCCCCAGACCTTTCTACAAGACAGCAGTCCCCTCCTCCTCCTGCCTCCCCCCTCTCGCGCTCTAACCTCTGCTCTCTTCTGTATTCTGCTCCCTCTGGCATGGCTGTAGTGTCAGGTAAGTTCTCCGCCTATTCCTGAATGCGGCCCCCCTCGTATCCACGCACACACACACACATCCGCCACCCCACCACACACACCCTCCCCTCGTTTTATTTTCTCCTCCCTGTGACACTGCAGACACCCTTGTCCTGATGTCACACACATCCAGCCCCACCCATCACCTCCATGCTCATCTCCCTCACTTAAACAACTGACCCCAGGCAGGTCAAAGGGCGGGTGAACTGCCCACAGGGTTCAGGTGGTGGCTCGCTGACACAATGAGGGAAAACAGTCATCTAAACACCCACAATGTAAGAAGGAGTCATAGAATAATGAACAGTAACATGAATCCAACTGATCCACTTGTTTCCATGAACTGGTTTCAATCTGAATCATTTCTGTGTACTTATAGATGTCAGAGCTTTCATATATGTGTTTATACATGTGATGTACTCCTTCACTCTATCTGCATCTTTTCAGTTCCTGATATGCAGCGGTGTTTTTGCTGACGCTGAAACACACACCCTCCTTTAAAGCAGCACTAAAGAGTTTCCTGCTTCTCCGCCCTACTGGTTGAAAGAGGAGTATAACCTGCTGTAAACAACCCTGCAGTAGCTTGCTGTAGCTAGTTCTATCTATGAGCTAATGCTGACATGAGTCAACAGATACTAAATAAGCCATAAAGTAAAAAGATTCACACTGATGGACAAAAATATATTATTGCTTACAAGTCCAGTAGCAACAAGGCCAGGTCACCATCAGTCTGGGATTTCATATCCTCTTTTCGCTTACTCATCAGTGTAGGTGTGTCGATTTTCACTCTGGTTTTAGCTCATTGCTTCACCTCCAAAGACAATATTTTCTTACTTTTACTTCCAGGCTCCACCATAATGCCAACAAAAACCGCTAAATTCTTCCTTTTCCTTTTCTTGTACTTTTTATTGACGGTCGGCGAACTGAAAAAGCTAATTGATAGGTTTTACATTAGGTGTTGGCAGAGTAAGCTGCTAACATCCCTAAAGCTGGTAGAGCGCTCTACGTAGTGCACCTACCCATCCAACAGCACTGTTAAATCCAGTTTCTGGTCAGCAGAGGGCTGCAGAGGAGTGCTGTCCAGTCTGAAGTAAATCAAGTTTCTACCTCAAAAATCACTGAAACCCACTTTGAAAGCAAAAGCTTAAAGTCTTAAAAATCTCTAAAGTGTTGCTTCAAAGGGAAACCACTTGTTCCATCGAGTATTCATCACTGAGAAGGAGGGCACATCTCATCATTACTTTTAAACTCCTCCTGCTTGCATGGCTTTATGCATCGACTGGTGCAGCAACTTCACATACTTTTATGTTTTTTTATTTTTCTTCAATCATGGCTGTCTGTCTGAGGACAACAACCACTTCCTGTCTCTGGGCCAGGAGCTTCCTTCTCATCTCTCATTGGCTGATAACATAAGCAATCTATCAGCTGGTCATTACACCTCCACTCCAATGGCATCACACACACACAAACACACACCGTCATCCACCTTCCCAAGCCCTTCCTGCCCTCCCACCCGCTTCACAGAGACCCCTGCCTGCCCTGGCTGCACTTCTGGCTCACTGGCACCACCCTGCTGGATGGAAGAGGCAATAAACAGGCTAAGCAAGAGTGATCTTCTGCAGCTTTTCTCTGTCATTTAGTTTAAAAACCCTTTCCTGCTCAGGATCCTGCACCTGTTCTTTTTTATCTTATTTTGAATTCTGACCTCAAACGCTCAGAGTCAGAGGTTAGCTGTGTTAGAACATGTGTGTTCTGTCTTGTGCACCATCCTGTTAGTTAGTAATGTGTTCACCAGCCTTCCATTTGTGCAGTGTAAACACACACAAGTGTGTCGTGTTGCACCGTGATGTTTCTGCAGCTGTTGAGTGTTTGAGGTCATGGTTGGTTGAAAATCACAGCATGAACCTGGAGGTGAGAGAATGTTGGAACTGCATTCAACCATTTAGTCTGTATGCATGCATGGATTAGAGTGTGTGTTTGTGTGTAAATGTGTCCTTTACTCTGTCACTAATGACACCAATCCTCCTCTTTCCCTCCCTGTTTTACTGACTTTGTATCCCTGCAGCACGCGGAAACAGAACTACATGATGAACTTTGCCAGACAGACCAGCATGCGCCACTACTACAGCCGCAAGCGGCGGGCACTGCAGCAGCGTACCTGAACCCGGCAAGAAGGGATCACTGACCTGCCAATCACACATCGTCCTGCCTCATACATCCTCCTGACCACAAACCCATCCTCTGGTGGATTCAGATCACTACCTTGGCTCCTTTACTGCCGCGCTCCAGCCAAACAAACCCAAATCCAGATCCTCGGATCGGCAGGAATCAAACTAAGGAAAGAATAAAGCGTCTACTTTGTTGACTCCCCACCCCTGCCTCCGAAAAGGATTGTTGGGTGTGTTTTTTTGTTGTTGTTGTTGTTGTTTTGTAATTGTTGCTGTCATTCCTCTGACCCCCATCCCCACCTCCCTCAGGTCACCACCCTCTCCCATCTTCTCCTACCACACTGTGAAATTGAAAGATAACAAGCCACTGGCAAACTGACCAGCTGATTAGAATTTAGCCTCCCAGCTCCACTGAGCCATCGGGGGGGGGGGGGGGGGGGGGGGGGGGACCACTTTGCTGCCGCCAGGAGAAGGACACACAACGATCATTACGAGGAATACCAGTGACAAGGAAATCTTAAAAAGACCAAAAAAAAATAGTGTTCTTGGTGTTCTGTGTGTCTGTGAGTTCTTTTTGTGATGAGTTGACTGTGGGGTTCTGTTTGTTTGTTTGTTTGTTTGTTTGTCGTTTTTTACTTATTCATATGCTATTATAGGGGGAGGGATGGGGAGGGTGCTGGGTTCTGTTTCCTTCTCCATGTTTATTGGATCAAGGTGTGAGCAGGGTGCAAAACAAATCCCCAACACACACCAGTGGAAGAATTCAAATGAAAGATCTGCACGACGACGGGAAAGAAAATATAGAAAAATAAACTAAAAATAAAGACTGATCAAGATTTTTGTTTTTTTAGATCATTTTTTTATATATGTTGGTTTTCAAAAATACAGATATTTATGGTAAATGGTTCTTCCCGTGACCTATTTAAGATGCACTGTGCGTGAAATCTGTATGTTATTTTCTAGTGTTAAGTTATTAGCCAGTCGGGTCAGGCTCTCAGACTGCATCATCTCCCGCTTCCTTTTCTTCCCCCCTCTCTCGTGCTGTTTCCCCCCCTTTCCTTCCATCCTCTCTGCTGATATCTGATACCTGGAGGTGAGGCTCTATCAGTGTTGTTTTTTGAAGTCTGTGTAAAATGGACCCTCTGCCCTCAGTGTGACTCCAGTATAGCAACCTCCTGTATATATATACATGTATATCCATTATGGGGAGACCCAGCAGCCTTATAAAAGGGAAATAAAGAACTGTCAAACCTCTGACTGCATTTCATCTTCATCTCAAGCCTTGTTGCAGTGTCATTCAGACCTTTGATGCATTTTTTGCAGCAACGTCATGAACAATTAGTAACTTATTGAAAGTAGCTCTTTTAAAATTAAATAGTTATGATCAGACAGAAGAGCTAACGGCTAGTCTGAGTAGAGTTAAGAAATTAATCAGATTTATATTTTAATATCATCTTTAAACAATCATTCACACACACACACACACACACACCTGTTACATTCTGATTTGTTAACATGGTTTTATCTTAAATTGTAAATGGCAGAAAGCATATTGTAGGGAAGTTTAAAAAGCTAAGAGCAAGTAAGACTGTAGAATGATGACAAAACACAATGGCAGCATGTGGCACACGTTAAAAATAAGCTTCCATTATTTATAGTTAGTACCACCTCTCCCATTGTGGTGCCGCAATCAGAAATAATTGTCCAGTATCAACGCACATAGACTCCTTGTTTGGACATCCAGGCTTCCGTAGAAGCTCTTTCCTGCTTATAAAGAAATGTTGCATTTTGTGTCCAGGTGACAAAGAAAATTATGTAAAATTAGCTTTTGTCTGAATGTTTTTAAACCATCTGGATGTAACAAAACCTTTGAAACATCTCATGCTAGGTGCTTGATGTTCAGATTCAGATTCATATTTCAGATTTATTGGCCAAGTAAAATTACATTTACAAGGAATTTGTCTTCGGTAGATGTTCGCTCTCTAAAACATACAACAACCATAATAAATGAGAATAAAAATACCTAAAAACACATAAGAACATGAATACCCACACACATGTTCATTTACGCACACACCTATATACATATATACATACACACACACACACACACACACACACACACATATCCATAAGCATACTGATTAAGTATTAAAAACTATAGTAAAAGGATGGTAAAAGAATCTACAGATTCAGGAGAGAAATGGCTGAAGGAAAGAAACTGTTCTTGTGTCTGGTAGTTTTTGTGTACAGCGATCTATAGCGTCTGCCAGATGGGAGGAGATGGAAGAGAGTAGATGCAGGATGTGTGGCATCTTGGACAATATTCACTGCCTTTTTCCTGCTCCTGCTGATGTACAGTTCCTGGACAGAGGGCAGTTGGGCACCAATGATTTTTCCTGCTGTTTTAATAATACGCTGTAGTCTGCATTTGTCCATTTTTGTGGCTGACCCAAACCAGACAGTGATGGATGAGCAAAGTATGGATTCGACTGCAGCAGTGTAGAAGATGATCAGCAGCTCTTGTGGTAGGCCATACTTCTTTAGTTGCCGTAAGAAATACATCCTCTGCTGACCCTTTTTGAGGATGGAGTTCTATGGTTTATCATTGTTATGGTCTAATTGTTTCTAGTCGTTTTGAGATTTTATATATATATTTGCATATAAAGTTAAATAAAACAGCTAAACTCTGCCTCCTGCTCATATAAAAAGGCATCGTAATCATTCTGATGTTGGTCTCAACCCTTTAAAACAAAAAAGAAGCCAACATCAAGGTGGAAATAGCAGTAACAGCTAACTTTAGCATTTCTGATTATTCCTCAGGCTGGATAGTAGTGTTTGTCAGAGGTTTGAAAATAAAGCTCAAGTAGAGTAAACCTATTTTTAAAGTGATTACATTAGTGCCTCTGAAATTGAGAAAATCCATTTTGTTCCAACTAGCTGTTAGCATAGCTTCAAACTGAGGCAGTTTTAAAAAGCCCTCCGACAGGTCGTAGGGTACTTCAAAACAAATGCAATATACCTCCAGCCTACTTGTTTTTAATTTCCCATTTTCATGAAAAACCAGCTTTATTTTTTAAGCCATTAAAATATAAAAACAAACTGTACAAACTAAACCAGAAAATGAGTGAAAGCACTCAAGTAACATTTGATGTATTTTCAGAGATTTATTACAGTAAAACCATTAAAAATCCACACAACGATAAAAGATTAAATAAAACCACTCCCGTTTCAAGAGGTGCACACCATCAGTGTCTCCAGACTGGGTGTTCACCTCATGTTAATCCATCAACTCAACCTGGAGGTCAGAGCAGCGACCGCCGCTAGAGTCACGGTGGCAAGCAGAGGGCGGACAGCAACACACGAGTTACAGTGAGGCCAGTCACAGCAGCTGTAGCTCATTATGTACACCGTCCCTTTGAGACGGATGTAGACTTTTTTGCTGCATTGGTCCTGCAGCATGCACCCCCTTGCAGACAAGGCTGAGTAGTTGCCATAGCGACCCACGCCCTCAAAGCAGACCTGTTTGGGAGGACATTCTGTCACAGTAGGTTCAACCATCTTATCCTTCTCCAGGATGGGGCTGAAGTGGCACACCAGGTTCTCGCAGCACAGTGAGGGCAGGAACAGGAGAAGGCAAAGCGCAGCAACATGAAGGAGCTGCAACATGTTCTGGCTGCAAGATAAAATCACAACTTTGCACTTTAAGATCTGGGGTTGCAAAAATTGAGCTACGATTTAGACAGAAATACGAAAAATATATATCTGAGCTGGGCCTTCAAATAGCAATTATTCTGATAAGTTAATCGTGAGAATTTTATGTTTTTGTAACTTAGTTTTTAGGTGCTGAACGTATGACCTCAAAGAGGAAGTTCCACCGTCAACAGTTACATTTATCCTCATTGGCTCTCCATGTGACCAACTTTCACATTTCAATGTCTACTGAACTATTCTGTAGTTTGGTGCTCTTTCTTTGACCTTTTAGACAACTATTAAGCCAAAGAATGTTGCCATCATACCCTGGACAATAATTAAACCAAACATCTGTTTTATTTATGCTAGAAAGCTGAAACCATAAAAGTTTTACAGCAACTTTAGAGAAACTTACCGAGCCATTTCACAGATTTAAAATCCTTTTGACCTAAACTTTTCCAAGTCTGTGCTGATGAGCTCCTGTTTCCACAATGACTGGAGAACCTCATAAAGAAGCCACACCTTTCTGCACACCTGCGCTTAATGTCAGCCCAGATAAATTACACTTAAAGACCAAGTTCACAGGGAAGCCATGTTTTACTTACTTTTTTAAATGATCACTCTGAGTTTTCCATGCTGTAAATGAAAACACCGGTGTCCTGCAGTAGCTTCTGACATAAAATAGACAATGAAACTCTAGGATTTGAAAAGCCTGAGAGATCTACGTAACACTGTCACTTAGCATTCATGGACTCATCCATTTTGACTCAAGATGGGGAAAGCTGTTGTTGGTATAGCCTCCAGCAAGCAGCAGAGAATATCTCAGGCCCTGTCCACACGTAGCCGGGGATCTGCCAAAACGTAGATATTTTTCTACGTTTTGGCTTGTCATCCACACGAAAACGGAGTTTTTTCACACGAAAACGGATCTTTTTAAAAACTCCGGCCAAAGTGAAGATCTGCGTTTTCTCCGTTTTGGGTGTCTGCGTGTGGACGGACAAAACCGGAGTTTTAAGGTCCGCAACGTCACTTTCCGCGACAAAAAAATGCTGACATCACGTGTGCGACCTGTGTTTACACTAGCCAACAGCATGGATGCCCTCAGAGCTGCGCTCGCTTTATCAATTGTCCAAGAGCTTTTTGCTTGTTTGTCTTTGCAAGTGGAATTACTGCTCCTTGCGGAAGACCACAGACGAAGGACGAGGTTAAGAACGGGGGAAGTACTGCCGCCTACAGGTCTGGCATGTCCTTAACAACGTATTTATCCGGGTACGTGTGGACAGTTTTTTTTAAAACGAGGTGGTGTGGATGCAAGTTTTTCGAGGGGCGGATATTCGTTTAAAAAAAAACCTGGCTACGTGTGGACTAGGCCTCAGATAGAAGCTAACAGTTAGCATTAGCAACTCCACCTCACAGCAGAAGCTCCTCCAGACTTGTGTTTTGGAGATAAAACAACGCTGCAAAGCAAACAGAATCAATGGTATAGTCAGGTTACTGTTAGCCAATCAGAGAAGAGATGTCCAAATATCAGGAAAAAAGACTCCATATCCTGCCACTGTTTAATGGGTAGAGGTAAACAGGAAAACAGGATGGTCATATGATTGGAATCAAGTGTGGTCCTGGAGAGCTTTGCAGAAATCGCACAAAAACTGTATAGAGTTCATAAGATGGGTCTGATGGACAGCCATGACAGCTGATGAAGGAGGAGTGAGAGGCTGGAAGCCAGAGAAATGTTGGGAATTGGGTCGAGGGACAAGTGCATTGTAGCAGTATTAAAGTTTCTTGGATGCACGGGAGTGAGGGGGAGGATTTAGGGGGTTAGGAGTAACAGTCCACACTCCACATCAGTAGGTGGCAGTAATGCAACTCAACGTTGCTATCATAAAACAACCACGAAGAATCATCCTTCCATCTTCTGCCACTTTCTCCTCTGGCTGACTTCTAAATCCTCAAACAGGCGCACCAGAGCTTTGTTCTCTAAATTGACCACCATAATGGAAATTTTCCTTCAGCTCTTCAGGAAATAAAATAACTTAAAAACCTTCTGCACACACAGACACCATGTACAACGGCTGGTTTACATTGGTTAAGGATCATTACAGCACTAGCAACACAATTAGGTTTTTGGATGCCAGAGGCACTTGATTACACCTGCAAGAGCTCAGGTGTTCAAACGAGTGGATGACTACCATCAACTGCAATGTTCCTCTTCCTTTTGGCCAAAAATTAGGAGATGGCATTTTGAAGTCTGCCAATTATTTAATTTCTGCCCCTGAAACAATTCTTAAAAGTTTAACCATAGCTCTACAGCTTTCAGGACTGAACCATGCTCTGAGATGTAGAAATACTACACAAGGCCTCCATTCCTACCAGAAACCACTGCAAATGTATAAAATATCTAAGTAAATATGACTTAACAGCAGCTTTATCACAGCACTTTTATTCAGCTGCGTCCATCAGTTAACACACAGATAAAGGCAGTCAGCAGTCCAGGAGGATGCTTGATCTCTCTGAATCATCATCATCACCATCATCATCATATTTACACATCAAATTACAAAACTTTACAAAGGATGCAAACATTTGATTAAATGTTAGTCTCCTGTTGGAGACTCGGGTGGCTAACAGGCCTACCCTCAGTACTTCACACCTCATAGCTTCATGTTAGGAAGAGTTATTGTTGATGCTGTGAAGTTTTCACATGAACTCCAAGATTCCTCTGTTTCAGCAGCATGGTCTGGTTCTGCTTCTACCAACCCCAACAGCTTCTTTAGGCTGGTGTCAGACTTAGGTGCAGCGTTGCATTTGTCCCTGCAGCAGCAGGTGTGACTGAGGTTAAACTCGACTCCATGGTAGGTAACCGTCTCATGAGAGCCACAGAGCTCAGCATCCACGCAGCCCTGAGCCGACAGGATGTGGACCGGGCCACGCAGACCTCTGGAGCTGGAGCAACGCTGAGATGGCAAACACTGACTGGTGACATTGGGGCAGGACTTGCCTTTAAGCTGCAGGGGACAGAAGTGACAAAGCAGGCTGTCCAAGGTAAGAGCAGGGACGACCAGAACGAGGACAAGAGGGATGGAGGTCAGAGACCAGCTCGGTCCAGATGAATCCATGCTAAATGGTGCAAATCATCCACAAGTCGATTAAGATTCATGAAAACGTTTATTTAGTGTAAATGTGTTGTTTACCTTTGGGTCTTTGTGTCTACAGCTCCCTGTAAATGAGTGGAAGAATACAGCAAACATCTTAACATGTCAGCCCCACCGGAGCCCCTGATTACTGATCACAAACAGGTGTGGGTGAAGGTAAACGCACTGAGAGACAAACTTGGCAAACAAAAACCTTTTCACCAACTTTTCTACTTCAAGTTTATTGTTTCTGACACAATATCTGTTTCAAAGGGCTGTTGGTGGTTTTAAAATGGTCCTTATTTGAGACAAAAGACAGGATTATGTTGCCATCTACAGGTCTGTGCACCAAATTCAGTAAAGTCACCGTTCAATGTGTGATCCCAATATTTCTGCTCATGTTCCATAGTCAGAGGGGAAAGACGGCTGTGCCTGTCGGTTCAGAGGTTCCTGTGGAGAAATGGAAATAAACTCATTAAACAGAGTTAATCAGAGTCCACAGCCAACAGCTGAGGTGATAAAAAACTTGATTAATAAAAGCAAAAACATGTAACGTGTCTGTGTGGTACAGGAAAGATCTGAATAATCACCCCGACCCCCGACCCCCCTTCTCTTATGCAGGTGAAAATTGAAAAACTATAATATGATGCAAAAGTTCATTTGTGTCAGTATTTCAACTCAAAAGGTGACACTCATGTTTGAGACAGACTCATTAGATGAATAGCCAGATATTCCAAGCATGTATTTGTTATAATGGTAATGATCATGGCTTACAGCTGATGAAAACCCTAATTTCTAAATCTCAGACACTTACAATTTTGTGAAAAGGTTTAATATTCTAGGCCAGGGATATTCAATTACAGGCCGGGAGGGCCGGGATCAAGAACGTTTTTGTTACAACTCTTCTTCTTCTTCTTCAATAAAAATCAGCAGGCTAGACACCTATTTGGTGTATTGCTGCCACAACAACTTCAGAACAGCATCCGTTCCAGATCACACCCTCCCGTACACCCCAATCTTCCGCAGAACATCCAGCAGCACTCCCACCCTATGCCGATCCTCCACCTCCAACAAAGTCTGCAGGCTGAACACCATCACACCCGCAGTCCCCAAGAAACTGAACAGGGCCTTCCGTTCGACATAATTAGGACTACACAAGAGGACGTGTCCCACCATCTCCAGTTCCCCAAAGTCACAAGAGCCATCCTTGTACTTCCCCACCAATAGCAGCCCCCCCGAAGGCAACTATGGCCCAACATCAGTTGTGTCGTGACCACAGAGTCTCTCCTCCCGCAGACCCACGGACGTCCACACACTTCTGCCTCCCGTAAAAAGCCCTCCCAGTATCCCATATGTCCTAGGAGGCCTGCCATGACTCAGAGCCACCAACCAATTGCAGAGGGATATTCTGGTGGACCCAACTCCACCCCCATGTTCACGCCCAGCCTTCACAGTGCCATCTTAACTGCAGCACCTGCCCCCCACCCCCACCCCCATTACCCATTACCCCCATATGAGCTGGTACCCAGACGAAACAGACCTCACACCCCAAAGCATCCACCTTGTGCAGCAACAACCTCACAACAAGCAGCAGGTCGGGCTGAGTCTGGGAACACCTCTCCATCAAGAGCAGTGGTGTGGTCAATGCAAACAACAGAGTGCATGTTCTGCTATCCACCGCAAGGCCCACAAAATCATCACCAACTCTGCCATGAACACAGAACAAGGATCTCCCCATGTCTCTGCCCAGGAAATCAAATAGCCCACCGACCAGGACATTAAAGAGAACCGGGCTGATCACACCGTGGGACCTCGTCATCCACTCCCACCAACATCAACAATGCAGAACCCACCCCCACCTGGATTGTCCTACCACTCAGGAAACCATAGATCCAGCGGAACATCTGCTCACGTACTCCAGCATAAAGGGATATCAAGAGCTCCTCAACATATCATACGCTCTCTCTATATGCAAAAGTACCGCCAACGTCACCTCCTTATTAGCCAGCGCTCTCCAACCATCCAAGACCGTATGCTCTATCACCTTGCAAACCGTCAGAGCAATAGGCCTATAAGAGTCCAGAGCCCTCTGGTGGCTTCCCAGGCTTCAGAATCAATCAAATCAAAATCAATTTCCCTCTGGGATTAATAAAGTATTTTTGAATTGAATTGAATTGAATTGAATTGAATTGAATTGAGAAAAGGCACAATCACAGGGTGCCTCCACTCAGCGGGCAACAGACCGATCTCCCACAAAGTTAATAAAGGACAGAACCTCTTCAAGGAAAATATCTCCTGCATGCTAGAGCAGCGGATACCCTAAACCATCGCTCCCCAGGCTAGTTTAACTCCCAGATCGCACTGCCTGCTTCAGTTCATCCATAGAACAGTAGAGATTTAATTCACCAGGACCATCCCCGTCCCCAGCCGCAGATTATGGCAGATTATTCCATGGATGCATGATCCTTATATGTTATAAGTGGGAGCAATGATGGAGGAGGAGTTAAGAGTTGACCTCATAATCAGAAGGTTGCAGGTTTGATTCCTCCAGTACACTTAACCCACCTTATCTGCTGGTGGTGGTCAGAGGGACAACTGGTGCCTGTGCTCGGCAGCCTGGCCTCTGTCAATGCGTCCCAGGGCCGCTGTGGCACTGGCTATAGCCCATCACCACCAGGGCTTGAATATGTGTGTGAATGAGGGAATAAATGATTGTGTTGTAAAGTATCTTGGGGGGTTCTAGGACTCTAGAAGGTGCTGTATCAAATACAGTCCATTTACCATTTAAAAAGGAGAGTAATCAGGCTTTCCAACAGTATAAGATGTGTTGCCAGGAATTTTTGCTGCAACAAAAATAATCAACCAAACACATAAATTCTTCAATTTCTGCTCTGAGTTTAGATTTGACTTTGAAAATCAACATGAGCAAGATGGCAGCTACAAACTACAAAAAGATTATAGTAATCGTACACACTGGTGCATGCTGGTTAATGAATGAGCCTGTTGGCATAATCAGTTGCCATGTTCAATCGCTGAAAGGTAAATGATGATAATTTGGTGTGTGTGTGTGTGTGTGTGTGTGTGTGTGTGTGTGTGTGTGTGTGTGTGTGTGTGTGTGTGTGTACATAATATGATAACTTCACATTAAAATAACGAAAGTAAAATGAAATAGTTCAGGAAGTCGGTTATTAAATTATTTCATAACTTAAGATTGTGACACCACTGATGTGGAGCCCTCCACCCTGGTTATTAGAGACTGAGTCATTTTCTCACAACCTGCTCTGCCTCCTCGTTCCCTCCACCTGCTTCACCCCACTCCTGCTGCTCCTCTGCAGGGTCGTAGCTGTACAGAGGAATCAGCCGGTGGCGTAGCTCATCCATTCTATGGGAGAGGAACAGTCACAGAAAACTATGTTGGGATCAGATTAAAAGCATATCAGGCTGCTTTTAAATTAGAGAAAGGGGGGAAAGCAGTTTACCTTGATCTCCTTCTGATGTAAACAACCTAAAGAGGAAAACACAACCTTAGAGAGCTCACGTTGCTGCTTTAGAGAATTTACTGACCGGTCTTACCACTGCTACTGCACATCCTATCAGAATCAGGAGGAAAAACGGGATGAGAGCGTAATAACCAGGAAATTCAGGCTTGTTGTGGGGTGTTGATGTAAACGCAGTTGTGTAGTTAAAATTCATCTTTTTCTGTCTTCCATCTGAGTGTGACACATTCAGACGAGAAGTGTCACCTCCAAGTCTTGTTTTAGAGCTTCAAACACATTCTACCCAGATGTCGCTGTGGAGGGTTTACCGCACGCGCTGCGGATGGACTTCTGAGAAATTTGTGCTGGTGAATTCAAAAAATCCTTAAAGAAATGTAAATCTTCCAGTCAATCAGACTTACCGTAATGCTAACTACAGAGAGAGGACACATTTCCTTCCTGCTTCTTGTGGTGTTCAGTTCCCAACCTGCTCTCTGACATTCCTGAGTGAGGAGTGGGTCGGCTGATTCTGAACATCACCTACGCGGCCTTAAATCTACCAACATGCTCAAACATAGGGACGAGAGCAGGTGCAGTCAGCTGGAACACCCTAAAAAATTCACAGTTTTTACTGATGGGACTTGTTTCTGCAATCAACTTATTTTAAATAGACTTGGGATTATTTGTTGGAGTTTAAAATGAAAGTGGGACGAGTTACTGCACTGATCTGATGTAATGTCCCGGTCCATCCAGCAGAGGCAACATTGTTGTCTCCTGGAGGAGCAGGTGAGGAGGAGGGACAGAGAGAGGGAGGAGGAAGCTCAGACGGGAGCAGGAGCAGCACAGGTTCGACCTGCTCAGCATGGATTCATACAGGAACTCACCTGGACCCAGAATGGAAATCAGGACAGCAGAACTTTAATGGTATGTATTCAAAATCAACTCCTCATTTCACAAATTATTCTGGGATCCTGAACTAAAGAGGTGTAACTGTAAGAATCTGTTCTCTTAGTTATTTTTGTTTTTATTTATTGTATTTACAGCATACACAGTTCTGGTTAGAACATGTAAATAGAGGTTTGAGTTCTGTTGAGGTGTTTCAGAGCATCGCCACAGATATAGAGGCGCACTCTGCTGGATTTCCTGTTCAGATTTGAAAGCCTGTTAATTATTAGGCAAACCTTTGGTCCAGTTTAACTCTTCCGGTAAAGAGTTCACTCCCTCGTGAAAACACTGATCGTTTTAATCCGATTTATGATGTTTTCTGTGGTTTTATGTTCCTCTACCTCCACACAGGTCTCAGTAGTGTCTCACTATGAGGTGAGAACTCCCAGAAGGATTTAAACTAGCAAAAACCAACAGTCCCAAAGCCTGATGGATCCTTCTGAAAAACAAGGAGAGCTGTTTCAGAGACAAGATTCTGCTGATTCCAACACCCCGTTGCCTCTGGTACCTAGCGATGTCTCCCACTATGAGGCCATTGATGGGAATAATGGAGGTAATGTGTACAACTGGACCTTACCCTGGCCTATAACCCCACCTGAGTACCAGCCCAAACCTCCAGACACAGGACCCTCTGGGATTCTCCATTGTCCAGACAAGCCACTGCTAACACGACCGCCACCACCTCCTGTTCCACAGAGGATCCGACTTCCAAGCTCGCCTGTCTTGGCGGCCCGTATTCCCCCTCCTCTGCCCCCCAGGCCCCCAGTTGAGCTTATCACAAGGCAGATTTCTTGTGATCACATCCATTCTTCTTCTAAACTGAACCGTTCCAGAACAGAAGTAGAAAAAAATGTGAGTACCTCAACTCGTTTTCTCTCAGATGGGATCAGAAACGAGCACGAGGGCCGATCTAACGTGTGTGTGTGTGTGTGTGTGTGTGTGTGTGTGTGTGTGTGTGTGTGTGTGTGTGTGTGTGTGTGTGTGTGTGTGTGTGTGTGTGTGTGTGTGTGTGTGTGTGACATCACTTTGCTCATTCAGGACCCATGGGCCATTACTCTAGTAGAGTCTCCAGAAGGCAGCACCAAGGATCTGGCTGCTTTCTGTGATGCAACGTCCAAGTAAAAACTCCATCAATGAAAAATGAAAAATCATTTTCAGCGTCTTTCTCTTTGGTCGTCTCACACTTTGTGGCGTGTTGTTCTTTCCCTCTCACAGGCTGATGTCAAAATACAAACACACAGACCGAACCCACAACCCGGGCATCATATGGGGTCGACTGTTATATGTCCACCCGGCTCTGCTGCAGCAGGTGGAGGTGATGGTCAGCGTGTCCACTGAGGATGCCAATCACCAACTTCCTCTCCCCACTCCAGGTAGGAGGCTCATGTTAGCCTAGCTGCATAAAGCACTTCAAGCAGCATTCCAGGTTTTGTCTGGTAGCCCTTCCAGTTATTCGTGGGAATTTCTTTGTCTGGCTCTTGTCTGGCTCTTGGATCTTTGCAGATCCAAGCTGAATTTATCCCAGATTAGAGATTTAATTTATCATGATGTGATTAGTCCCTAATCTGTGGAAATGAAATGCCTACAGGATCATTTTGATATCACGCCTGGTTTTCATGTAATAACAGTTTCTACCAAAGCTGTTTGCTGTGGACCCTGAGCTCTGATCCTTTGCTCAGTGAACAGGAAGGTGAAGGATCTCATCGATCAGTTCTGTCAGCTGCTGGATTACCCTGCCAGCACCAGTGGAGATTATGTTTTAAAAATGTGTGACTCAGATGAGTTTCTCAGAAGGTACGTCTGTCATTTCCTTTCAACTTCAGAACGCTTCTCTGCAGCTTTTGTTCTAGTCCAAGATGCACAGATCAGTTTTCTGAGTGAACTTTACTGTCTCTGTCTAGTGAAGAGCTTATTGGTATGCACGAGATGGTCCAGATCTATTACAAGTCAAAATCGGTGGTCAATCTGCGACTGATCCACAAAAACAACCTGAAGCGCCATCTGGCTAGAGATGTAAGTCGGATGAAGTTCCCCTCCCACAGCTGAGACCAGTCACCGAGCTGGGACAGCCTTATCATCAAACTCGAAATGCTGCTTTCAGCTGGTGAGCTTGTCGTCGTCATCAGGGTTATCGAGGCTGTAAAGTCCCACACCCTGGCTTTTTCACTTTGTTTGGTTTACTGCTAGCATTAAGCAACAAGAAACAAACGACAGAAGGACAAAAGGAGATTTAAACCTATGTGTTTATTACAAACTCTCACAAACTGTTATTGACCCTAATCAGAGTTTGAATGTGTGTGCAGGCTCAGGATGACATGACCGCATGCCAGCCGAACCAGTTCCTGTGTCCTGTCAGTGTCTACATCACCTCCAAGTGCGACAACACAACAAAACACTTCCCATTAGTCTTTAGAAACAATTTCCATCACAAACTTCAAGTTTGTGCTGTGTGTGTGTGTGTGTGTGTGTGTGTGTGTGTGTGTGTGTGTGTGTGTGTGTGTGTGTGTGTGTGTGTGTGTTTGTAGAAAATAGGCCAAGCTTGACTTCTGTGTGTTTTATTCTTCCTCACAGGCTGAGCATGGCCGATGTTCTCCAGACGTACAACAAACAAGTATCAGAACTCCTGAGAACTAAGGTCAGTAGATAAAACACAAGCATCATAAAGAGGAGGAGCTTATGAACAACTGATATCTTACCTACAGTGGGTGAAGAAATGGAATGCAGCCTTTAGTAAATGTCTGCTGTGAAACAAGCCTGTTTGAATGTCTAAATCTCAGTGTGTCGGAACGAGTTTGATTGTTTTTCCTGATTTGAGTTTGATCCTGTTGTGTTTTTAGTCCCTGGTGAACATCACTGAGGTTGTGAAAAGCGTTCGCACCATCAGCAACCTTCTGTCTGGACTTACATGTCAGGAGTTAGAAGATGCAATTGGTGGGGTCAACCGAATCAGAGGCATGGTAGGATGGCTGAGGAGGTTAAAGCTTCTGTGTTTTTAACTTTTTAAACTTGTATAATCACTCTAACAAAGCAAATGTACTTTATAACTAGACCTTTTATTATTATTAGAAAATGCAACCTTATTTTGTTTTTGTTTTCCTGTCTGTAGAGTCACAGTGAGGTGGCTGACTGTGAGACTGGTGAGTAGATGCTTGTCATGCATTTCTCTGCCTCAGTGATGTGTTGCAGGAGCTTCTATATATATGGTGAGCCCTATGTGACCTGGCCATGTAGCCATTTATTGTGACGCCAACCGAAAATTTGTTTTAGCTTCTTTATTTCCTGCAAATTTTGTCTCCAGCTACAGACCAGTGAGATACTGGTCTGAGTTCTGGGGCCTTACTTATCAACGTACTTACACACAGATCTGTGCGTATGTCGTCTGTAGGAATTAAGTTAGGCATTGTGTGCTATTCATCGTTTCGTAATTGTGCGTAAATATGTTCCTAAATATAAGAAAACCTCGGAGCATGTGTACAAAGAGCATCTAGTGGTAGAACCACAATACTGAAGGTTTCAGTCATCAACATGGTCCTCCTCCACTAAATAAATTCAATAAAAATAATAAATGAAAAATAATTTGATGGGAAAACAACCATGCCGCATAACTGGCACTAAAACCAATAAAATACACCTGTGACCGACGGGAATCTGATGTTGTAGCATGGCTGATGTTGTGTTATTGGAGGATGTGGCAGAGCGTGCACTCTGGAGTAAACGTGTCCTCTGTGCACACCGATTTGATTCCTGAAGGAGATCCTTCTGGAGCTTTGCTGGGATTTGAGACACTTTGTGGAGCAACAGACAAACCACACAAATCTGATTCCAGTCCATATTCTATTTTACAACCATGAGAACCCCCAGAACCTCCTCTGCTCCCCGTTCATACACGCGTTGCCAAGGTAACCAGACTGAATGACAGCTCAGAAGAGGCTGCGCTCAGACAGCCTTCCCAAATGAAACTAACTCCAAACAGAACAACTCCTTAAAATGTAAAATGTAAATGTCAACCCCTTCTGATTTATCATAGTCCATTTTATGGGCAACCATTTTTAATTTTGTTTGACATTTATAACCTCTGGTTCTCTTCCATCTCCACTTCCGCCAGTGACTCAGGCCTAGTCCACACGTAACCGGGGTTTTATTAAAAACGAATATACGCCCCTCCAGAAACTTGCATCCACACCACCTCGTTTTAAAAAAAACTCTGTCCACACGTACCCGGATAAATACGTTGTTAAGGACATGCCAGACCTGTAGGCGGCAGTACTTCCCCCGTTCTTAACCTCGTCCTTCGTCTGTGGTCTTCCGCAAGGAGCAGTAATTCCGCTTGCCAAAACAAACAAGCAGAAAGCGCTTGGACAATTGATAAAGCGAGCGCAGCTCTGAGGGCATCCATGCTGTTGGCTAGTGTAAACACAGGTCGCACACGTGATGTCAGCATTTTTTGTCGCGGAAAGTGACGTTGCAGACCTTGAAACTCCGGTTTTGTCTGTCCACACGCAGACACCCAAAACGGAGAAAACGCAGATCTTCACTTTGGCCGGAGTTTTTAAAAAGATCCGTTTTCGTGTGAAAAAACTCCGTTTTCGTGTGGATGACAGGCCAAAACGTAGAACAATATCTACGTTTTAGCAGATCCCCGGCTACGTGTGGACAGGGCCTGAGTATCACTTTCAATAGGGTTTCTTTTTTTTGTGACGATGAAGAGAATCCCCTCATCAGCTGAGGACATGGCGTGACCAAATATGGTTAATTGAGAGTGTTTCTGTATGTAAATGATGGTAAACGGACATGAGCACCTGGGTACACACAGGTGTGATTTAGCAACAAATGAGAGCGGAGGAACATGTGTATGAGAGGCCACCACATGTTTCATAAATCAGGATTTTGATTTAGTTTGTATGAAATATCTAAATTTCATTCATTGGAAGGAATATAGGAATATTTCTACGAGTGTTTGATGAATGAGGCCCCTGGTGTATGAATAACAAAGCAAACAACTCACTGTTTTACTTTAGAGTGCACAAATCAATATTTTGCAGAATACAGCTGATCCCCTTCACAGCATTTAAAGTCATAAATAGTCTTCTGCCCATCCTGGATCAGAAACTTCAATAAGCTCAGCCTTGTTTGATAAGTTGTGAAAATTCATTTAAATAAAATGAATTGTAGCACCATCTTTCATTTTTCTGTTCCTGCACATTTGCATAATAATACATTTGATTTGGTGTTGGGCTTTTGGGGGACCGTGAGAACAAAACCAGTCAAAGCAAATAACAGCAAGCAGAAAAACATCCCACACTGCACCTTTAATTATTTCAACTTGCATATATGTTCAAAAAAGTGATTCTCCTGTTTTGATAATTTTTATTGACACACTGATTTTTGCTTTTACACCCACTGGTAAAAATCTGGGCTTAGACGAGCATTTTATACGTCCACACATGCATGTGCAAATAAATAAGAGTGTCGTTCTATTAGTGTGAATGAAAAATTCCCCAAAAGTCAGTGAGGGTTACAGGATGTTAAGAACAGTGTGTGAGCTTGAATTAGTCGTGCATCTAAATTTTTAACAGATTTTAAATTTTTATTTCAAATCACACGAATGAAAACTACTAAAACCTGCTGGAATGAGTTGTCCTGAACGTCTGATCTGCTCTGACTGTCCCACAGCTGTGATCCTTCTCAACGGAGCCTTGCAGAAAGTGCTGCAGATTTATTTCGACAATTTCCAGTCGAACTTCAGAACCCAGCGGATCCTCGGCAGCCCTGAAGTCTACGACGTCGATGGCAACGATGAAATCTTGCAATTTAAAATTGCTTCCCTCTACCAGATCCAGCCTGCATGGATGACGTACGTCTCTTACTCCACTCACTCACTCCCGCACGTATACAACCATACGTTATCAAAACTACTTCTGTTTCTTTAATAATTCCAGCTATGAGAGCTTTTCTCTCACCTGTGATGTGACACATGGAGAAAAGAAGATATGTGACACCGGCATTTCTGAGAACATCAGCTCCACCCTGTCACATGGAAACAAGATCCACTGCAACCGCCTGTAAGAGCTGGAGATCCTTATCGTAATCCCAAAGTGACTGGAAGTGTCTCCAGACGAAAGCTGACTTTCCTGTTTGAAGCAGCGTGTTTGTCCTGAAACCGCTTTAACAGCCTCAGGCTGCCAGGCTCTAAATAAACAGCAGGCAGACACAAAGGGCGGAGACTTAAGACAACAATTAAACTGTAATAAGGAGTCTATTTATGGCTTCTTGTGTGTTTGAAATTGCAGAATGGTGTTTCCTGTTCCAGTGAACCAGCTGCCTTATGAGTGCATGCTGACATTCCACCTCAGAGGCACAAAGCGAGGAAAAACCCCTGAGCTGCTGAGCTGGGCTGTGCTGCCTCTGTACAGTGACAGGTGGGTTCAAAGTTCAGGATTATTGAATTAAAAATGAAAGATTCGGCTCATAAAATAGATTAAACCCAGTTTCCTGTCTATTTAGAACCCTTGCAGGAGGAACAGTTCTCCTCAGCATGTCTACCCTTCCTGAACTGCCCTTTCCTCCGTCTCCTGCCCTCTCAGACCTTCACAAACAGCCCATAGGGGTCATAATGCAGGTCAGTACTTAAAACTGCCCGTATGTTGATTCGATGACCTGAATCTCAAACATATGTGCTTCTGTAGCTGGAGTTCGACAGTCGGTCTCAGTGGGACTATCGGAGACCCATGGCTCTACCTGGGTTGATCAAATTCTCTCATCCTGATGACGAAGTGCAGAAGAAAATGTTGAGTGTTTCCAAGAAGCACTGCCTCCACTTGTGAGTAGACTGGGCTTTTACAAAAATGATCTGACTGAAACATTAGCTCTGTAAATAAAATCTCTTTTCCAGTTTGACAGAATATGAGAGGTCTTTCTTGTGGAGCAAACATTTCTGTGGTGACAAATCCAACACTTTCCTCCATCTGCTGCTCAGTGGCGCGCCCCAGTGGCAGCCTCAAGACCTGACTGAAATCTACACGGTGGTGGACAACTGGCTCATCCATCTACATGAGGAGGCTCTTTTCCTGCTCACTGCCAGGTGGGAGGAGGCTCAGGGATGCAGAACATGTCTTTGTCTTTTTTAACACTCACTACATTTTTAACTGGAGCCTCTGTGTTGTGTAAATGTTGCTTCTATTCGACCCATTTAATTGGCCGGCACTAATTTACACCAACACTTATGAGAAAACTAACATGTACCATTAATATTTAATATTTTGGTTTGTTAATAAACAGACTACCAGATTGTGATGTATTTGAAGGTTTAAGGTACTAATTGTTTTATTAAAATATCTGTTTACAGTTTCCCTGATCGGACTGTTCGACTGGCTGCAGTTCAGTACTTTCAGCTGATTCCAGATGGAGAACTTGAGGTGTTTCTGCCACAGCTGGTTCAGGTTGGCAAGCAAACACACCTGAAATAGACATATTGTGCAAAATTCACTTTTTGCAGCCTTTTGTGCTTCCATGTTGGTCTCTACTGAAAAAGGCATTCATCTGTTATCTTATCAGCATTTGGTGTTATAGGAATTATGTGCCTAACACAAGTTCTTTAAAAAGTCCCTGGGATGTCTCCAATGGGGAAAATTGAATAGAACGATGTCTCATCTGCAAAAGAGAGCTGCTGCTGGAGGAGCAGCGGCTCTACTCCCAGCCCCTCCCAGATATCAGAGCTTCTCGGCTCATAGCAGCCTGTAAGGGGAGGGGTGAGCATGGCCAGCTCCAGTTTGTTTTCTTAAAGTGTCGGAGCCCTGATAACACTCATTCAGGACAGTACTGAAACTGTCAAGAATAAAACAGCTGAAACAGCTTTACGTGAGAGAGGGATTTGGTGAAAAGAATGTCATACACATGTTTGGTATCAACCACAGAACGTCAGGACAAAAGTCATAATATGTCCATTTTTAACAAAGATAATGTCAGGATCATTTTTACTCCTGTGCATCATAATGATTCACTGTTTTCTGCATAAGACAAAGCTGATGTGTTATAACGTTTAGCATTCAAACTAAATTTGAGAGCGAGAGGCAAAATTTGCATTTCTTTCATTCATTTGGTGAATAATTGACTGTTTGTACAACGTGCATTGTGCAGGCTTTAAAGAACGAGTGGGAATTGGACGGCCCTCTGGTGATGCTACTTTTGGACAAATCAGTGAGGAACATAAGGATTGCTCAGCAGATTTACTGGTGAGTCAGACATCAATCTGATAAATGGCAAATGCGTAGCTGCAGGGATCCATTCATAAGAACTGAGAGGATCTCAGCTAAAAAGCCTAAAGCAGACATTATCACCCAACAAAACATCTATTCAGCCAGTTTCCTATTTCTAACCTTCCTATTTTAGAGTTTTCTCTCCTTCTAACCTGGATGTAGGTCTAATAAGATGTTCATCAGGACACTGTTATCAGAAGGGCCAGACAAGTGAATCTATACTTTTTACCTTTTCTGTCACCTGGTAGGCTGCTGGAGGACGCCCGCACTGACACTCACTACCAGGGCTGGTTTAATAAAATACAGGCTGCTCTGATCCACTGTTGTGGCCGAGCACTGAAGAAGGAGCTGGAGCAGGAAAATCGTCTGGTGCAAGTGCTCATGCACGTGGCTGAAAGAGTGAGCTGTGCTGAGAAGTCTCAGCGTAAGGCATGTTCAAAAAATCCCCTCTCTCCATTTGCAACATTGAAAGTAAAGCTGTTTTTCCTTTCTTGTCTTTGTGGTTATGAGTGTCTTTGTTGTGCTTTTGCAGAATATTTTGAACAATGAGAAGTTAAAGATTGGGGATTTTTTCAAAGGTGGGACCAGCTGTTCTTTACCTCTAGATCCTGCAGTCAGTGTGAAGGGAGTAGACCTGGATGTAAGAACGTCATGCAACACTTCCATCTGATGCTGCACCACTGGAATATATGGATGTTAAAGGTCACCGTTTATTTCCAGGCCTGTAAGTTCTACAGCTCCAACGCTAGTCCTGTGGGGATCACATTCATCTGTGACGACTCTCTGGCCAAGAACGTTGGTGTCATCTGCAAGGTGGGCAAAATGCAGAACTTTCCTGGCCTTTGGGATTTTCTTCTATTTTGCACCTCGGTGAAAAAATATTTAGAGCCCACAAATGTGTCATTTAGACTGGAGACAACCTGCGACAGGACATGCTGGCTCTCCAGATCATCCGTGTGATGGACATGGTGTGGCTTCAGCAGGGACTGGACCTGCAGATGATCATCTATAGGTGTCTGTCCACAGGCAAAGCTCAGGGTAAGGCTACTTTAGCAGCTGTTGATTTCATGTGGTTTTTATTAGTGTCTATATTTATGTTGTTCTGTGTCCGTCAGGCCTGGTGGAAATTGTGCCTGAGGCCGTGACCCTGGGAGACATTCATAAGGAGTGGGGTCTAGGTGGAGCGCTTCGAGAAGACACGCTGGAGAAATGGTTCCACATGCGAAACAAAACTAAAGAAGACTATGAAAAGGTAGATCTAAATCCAACAGATTATTCTGCACGCAGTCACGGCAAAAGAAGGTACACCCCATTCAGTTTTAAGGATTTCTGTTTGACGTGATATGAGACATGGGGAAAAACTATGAAAGTTTTCTAAACTAAAGTCAAATGTGCAAAAGCATGCAACAGATTCCAACACTTCACACAAAACCAAAGCAAACATGGAAACACGTGTGAAAAACGTTGTCTAGTCTTTTATAGATTAACTCGTCATCAGTGTGACCAACTCTACACCAGCGGGAGTTTTGATGGTTGCAGGTCTGGAGCATACAAGCGTGTGTTAACACTAAGAAGGGAAAAACATCAGCACCAAACACATCAGGAGATCTACAGAAGAAAGATCAAGGTTCGGCAACAGTCCAGTGAAAGTTCAGACCTCAACCTGGGCATTTATACACAACCACAAACCTAAATGAACTAAAAATATCTTTAAATAAAGATTGGGTCAAACAGTGATAAGGAAATAAATGATAGGAAATGCCAGACAAATTCTGAATAATGCTAGGAAATATAAAGGAAACCAAAACAACATAATTTGACCAGAGACTGAGCCCTGGGGAACCCCGCAGGTTAGAGATTCAGCTTTAGGGTTTCATCTTTATTATTATACTGACCACTGACTTAACAAATACTGAAAGAAGTTTTAAGAGTCCGTGATGTTCAGGAACTCATCGGTTCCATTGTTACGGAGACCATTCATATGAATGTTAAAGTTCCCAATGATAATAATCATGTTTAGTTGAAACATGCTTACATTGAGGATTTAAAAAACAGATGTACAATAAATGAAAATGCCATACAGGTTTCTGTTACACCAAGTTTGAACATTATTATGTCAAATAAATTGTAGCTGCTAGAAGAAACCATCTTGCATAAAAAGGCATTCTTCAAAACAGCAGCAGTCCTACGGCCTCTGCAGGACATTTGTGGTGTTGATGAACTCATTCTGATGTCCTAAAACTTAAAATAGTTTCTGTTCCCTTTTGCTGGGGTTGTATCTCTGTTCCACAGCTCTCTTGCCTTTGATTTGCAGGCTGTGACAAACTTCATCCACTCATGTGCAGGGTGGTGTGTAGCGACCTTCATCCTGGGGATCTGCGACCGCCACAACGACAACATCATGTTGAAACACACCGGGCACATGTTTCACATCGACTTTGCCAAAATCATGGGCAATGCACAGAAGTTTGCATCTTTTAAAAGGCAAGTCATGAAGAAAGCTGATGAAGATCATGAACTTCAGAGTGCAATAGAATGTTAGGATCCAACTGTCTCTGACACTATGACAGGGATCGATCACCCTTCGTTTTCACATCTGAGATGCAGCACTTCATCACAGGTGGTGGGAAGAAGCCCCAACGTTTGCATCGCTTCGTAGAACTCTGCTGTGAAGCTTACAACATCATCAGAAAGCGCTCCGCCCTCATACTCAGCTTGTTGGAGCTGGTAAGAATGTGGCCCAATCCCAATACTCGTAACTCAAACTACAGTCTTCAGCAAAGTACACTTGGAGGAAGTATGCAGGAAGGTTTCCAGTGTGTAGTACACAAGTTTGCAAATAACTGCCGGATTGAGACACTGAGCATTCTATCATCGACCAAAACGCATGCCGGTCACTGTTTGTGCCACTTATTAAAAAATCTTTATTAACAACTTTCAAACAAGCAAACAATTTCTTGACAACATGTACATTCATTGCTGTTCACATAAAATCTTAGCCGAAAACATTTAGAGCATGAATAAATATCGCTAATCGTCATAAGATGACCTTTCGTTTGAAAATACTTCATTTCAGAAAAGGCACTTGAGCTATTGGTCCACCTTCTCAGAAATCTTTTACAGCAATGAATTGTGGGTAATACCATTCGCAAAGTGCAGATCAAGGGTGCAAAAGGGGCGTGGTCAACTTCTGCACTTAAGGATCGGGAAAACCTATGCACTCATACCCCGGGACTGGAAGGTGCAATTGAAGGGTGCAAGGGTGTGAGTGCGAGTATTGGGACTGGGCCTTTTTCTAATCTAACACTCACAGTTGCCCAAATTTAAGAACATGGGTTTCTATTAATTGTGTAAATGTTCAGATGCTTTATGCAGGGATGCCAGAACTGAAGGACTTTCACGATCTACAGTACGTCCAGAACAACCTCAGACCTTACGACACGGATCTGGAAGCCACTTCCTACTTTACAAAGTAATTTAAAGAACCACACACAAGTGCAACTGTCTAACGAATACCAGGTGTATTTGTTTTTCTGCTGTTGTATTAATCTGGTTCTATTATTGCTTCTGATGTAGGAAAATCAAGGAGAGCATTAATTGCGTTTCAGTCAAGTTTAACTTCTTCGCACACTCGATGGCTCAAGGGAAAAAACAGGAGTCCCAAGCCCCGGACAACATCCCTGCACCCAGCACCAACATCCAGGAAGCGGTCATTCGAGGTTTCTCTGTGAACGGAAGAGAAGTGGTGAGGTTGCTGTTTGTGGTTCTGTGATTTTGGAAAAGGCTATCCTCAGTGATGCACCATTCGTGTTACATGTTGGAACAGCACAAACCTGACAGCAGGTTCACACCTTTTTACCTGAGAGAACAAAAAAATAACCAAGGACTCATCTGATATGTGTTTGCTGCTACATACAACCTCCTGAGGAGCAGAGCTGTGTTTAGAAAGCCTTAACAGCTTTCCCATGAGAAGGAGAGAGAAGAAAGGAGTGATCGTGATGTTTGTTAGCATTCCACAGCTCTTTGATCAGATGAGGTTTCCTCATGACAAGCTAAAATCACAGTGGAGAACAGAGTTGCCTAGTTACTAAAAGGATTCTGGAAATCACTTTTTTTTCTGCAAGAGCTTTGCTTTCAGCCAAAACATCACTAGTTAATACGTCATCACTCAGTCTGCACGCTTCAACACATTCTTGTGAACTGTCGAGCTTTGTGCACGAAGGTGAACCTCGTTTTTGTTGGGGATTTTTTTTGTTTGATACTATTTCTCTTTGCAGCACTTTAATCAGCTGACATACAGCTTTTTTTTTGTATTCAATTAAATGTGGCTTGGTATGGTATAGTTTTTACTCACAGTGCAGCCTTGTGTATTTTTGTTTGCAGACCTACGACCTGAGAATAACTATTGATGACGGTTTTTTGACAAGTCAGAAGACATTTGGGCAGTTGGACCTGATCCACAAGAAGCTCCAGAAATACTTCATCAAATCTAAGTTACCTCAGTGAGTGAAGAAAAAACTTGCATCATGTTCACGAGTTTTACTCTCGATGGTTTTTACTATTTGGTCATTTTAATGTCTCCTACCCAGGTTTCCTAGCTGGTATCAGATGTCGTTCACCCAACAACGGAGGATGTCTCAACTGAATAATTACTTAAAAGAGCTTTTTGAGGGGCCGTGTAAAGGAGTGAGTTACTGATTTTACTGTTTGATTTATTTTTCATGAGGATCACTGATGCTTACTTTAAAAGTTCAATATCACGCTATTTTAAACGAGAACAAAGGTAAAATCAGTATAACATGATCGGCACTGATACCAGTACCAGTATCGGTGCCGATATTGATACCAGTACCAGTATCAGTATCAGTATCGGTAAAAGTTCACCGATACCAAGAACCGATACCAATGCAGTTGCTCGAAAGTGGCTTCACTGTTACTTGTCATTTCTGTTCACCTAATATTTTAGTTTTGTGATGATTTCTATTAATATATTTTATTTTATTTTTTATCTACCTTACAGTATTTTCTTGCTGAAAGCACGTAAGAAAACAAAACCTGTATTCCAATTTATTGCATTTTTTTTGTGTGGCAGAAGTATCGGTATTGGTAATCAAAATCGGCGAGTACTCACCCAAGTATCGGTATTGTCTCGGTTTGGAGAAAAGTGAGATAGTTGCATCCCTGATTAAATATTACCGCTGGCACTTTTGAGATGTCATTTATCTTAAATACGAGTTATTTTAGCCAGCCTGAATGCATAGGTGACAAAAAACACTTTGTTTCAGTGAAACTTTGCTCGTGCTCGCTCCAACAAAACATGTCTCAGGCAAGTTGGTTACTGCAATGATTATGATAGTCCAGAGGTAAATGCATCTGCCTAACGTTTCAGCGTAGCCGTGTGCGGACGTGGGTTTGAATTCCAGTGGTGTCTGCAGTAATTTATTTAGCCAGCTGAAGCTGATTTCATGTTTTTATATTTTAGTTTTATTGATTATTTTCTGCAAAATATTTTGTGTCTCTAAGCATCTTTGAATGGTTGTTTCCATGCAGCATTTTAGTTGATTTACTCCGCTCATCTGACATGAACTCACACTGGCTAAATAAAGAAAGAAAGTAATAAAAAAACAGATTAGTCCTTATGTTTTAAACAGTTTACCAATGAAGGAGTGAAAACGTAATACTGACAAGTGTAGCTAACAAAGAAAAAAATGCATGAAAAAACCACAATACCGCATGCTAAAAAACTTAAAGTGGATTTTCCAAGATACGGCCACTTTAAGATGTGCCGCTGTGTCGTCTGCAGGACGAATATGTGTGCAGCTTGTTTCTTGATGGCCCCAAACTGAATGACACGGTAACCACAGGTGAGTGTGACGAATGTTTTATGTTTTGGGGGAAATCTGATATATTTTGTGGGTCATTGTTCTGGCACTGATCCAAATACGTTTTGCAGGTGTTGTTCCCCAGATTCAGCTGCATATCTCCTACTGTAACTGCAAGCTGTCTGTGCTGGTGAAATATCTGAAAAACGTCGTAAGTTTCTCTCACTCACCGGATTCTGTTGTGGAATCAAATAAAAAGACAGCATGGAGTTTAAAGGTGTCCTCTTGTGGTATGTTTTCTGTTTTGAACAGAAACAGGCTAATGGTTCTAATCCGGATGCCTACGTGGTCACACGTCTGAGGCCAGACCCTCAGCAGAACTCTAAAAGGAAGACAAAGGTGGTCCGAAACAACGACAACCCTACCTTCAACGAGCTGGTAAAATTCCCCTGCATGAACTTTCATCATTGGCTACAAAGAGCATTTAGAAATTCCCTCAAAATTCTCCTAATGCTAAATCCATCTTCAATTAAAACCATCATTCCATCCACCCACTGTCTTACTCGCTGTCCTCAGGATCCGTATTTAATTTTGTCTCTACAAATAAAGCTTGATTGAGTAACTGAAAAATCTTCTTTCACACATTTCTAAGAGTGATTCAACTGAAATGTGACAGAAATGTCTGACCCATCTCCTCGTTTCCTCAGCTGGCGTACAAAAACATCCTGATGCTGAAAGGGCTGACGCTGGAGGTGACGGTGAAGAGCAAGAAGACCAAGAAGACGTTTGTTGCCGCGGCCCACATCAAACTAGAGGATGAGCTGCTCAACAAGGAGATCTGGTTTCCACTGGGAAACTGTGTGATCTGACTCTAAGAGCTGCACTACAGTGCTTCTGACAGCAGAGGGCGCCAACACACTAGAAGGAACAAACAGAGGTTTTTTTTTTAGGATTTTGCCAAACCTCAAATGAAGGCTAATGCAAAGTCCTGCATACTCAACAATGCACATGAACTTAACCAACGTTTAAGACTCTGAGTGGTGAAAAAAGTTACAAGACACCTACATCAAAGTTTACTGTGAAATTAATCCTAAACCTTTTTATTATTTATCTATTTAAATGTTGTTCAAATCAATGTTTGTTTGGTGATTGATGAAGGAACTGGCGCACGGCTCGTCAAACTAGCACTTTTATTTGTAATCAGCCTTTGTTTTCTTCACTGTGAGTACAAACGGTGTGTTTAAACTCCACGTGCGGTCCTGACTGTTGATGAGACCGTTTAAGGGAGACGCCTGGCTGCCTGTGACCTGGTCGGGCATGTCTGTCCCTTCAGGCTATGTCCACTGAATGTCCTTGATCAGTTGGAATTAAAGGCTGGAGAGAAGAGGGTGAGTAAGAGGGGGAGTGAGGAGAGGGTGTGTGAGCAGGATGACAACTCAGCATCTTGGGCCTGAGGGGGGCTGAGTTAACGCCCTCTCCTCCCTCTGTCTTCACTTCATCCTCTGTCTTATCCATCAGTGACACACGCACGCACGCACGCACGCACGCACGCACGCACACACACACACACACACACACACACACACACACACACACACACCGTTTCTAGGCCGAGGCAGGTCTTCCTGTTATCTTAATGCCATCGTCGACCTGACAGGCCTGCTGAACCGTACTTTTCATTTCCTCATTTAAAGGATTTTAGTGATGAACAAAGACAGAAATAGACTTTCTCTGCACTGGATTCACTTCAATAATGTATACCTCTTTGGAAGCTATTTATACTCATCCCAGATGGGGTTCCTTTTATTTTTAAGGAAAACAGAACAAGCAGGAAATGCTACTTTCTACTTTTTGATTATTGTATTCACCAGCGCAGGTCTAAAATATGAGTTTCATCTATATTTTGGATTATAAGAAACAAAAAGGACTTTGAAGTAATTGTTTAAGATCTCACGAGGTACCAGCCTTTCCTGTATAACAGCTTCATAGCATGTTACTACTGTAACCCAGTTTCCTGCCTTTAGGGTTTCTCCAGTGAGATGCAAGAAAGGAAAAAAATCATTTTCAGCCTTTCAGGTTTAGCTGGAAGCTTCTCGTTTCTGTAACTCCCATTGCAGGAAGGAATAGACATATATCTATTTTTGACAATAAATGTGATATTTATACCTGCTGGAAATGTTTGTTTGTTGTTACTGGATCTGTCGCTGATTTTCTACATCTTGTCAGTGCATTTGCGAGAGAGAGAGAGAGAGAGAGAGAGAGAGAGAGAGAGAGAGAGAGAGAGAGAGAGAGAGAGAGAGAGAGAGAGAGAGAGAGAGAGAGAGAGAGAGAGAGAGAGAGAGAGAGAGAGAGAGAGAGAGAGAGAGAGAGAGAGAGAGAGAGAGAGAGAGAGAGAGAGAGAGAGAGAGAGATTTAGGAATATCAAGCAAACAAAGAGGGAAGCAGGATCCAGACTGCTTCCCTCTGGGGACATGATAGGCACCCACCAGTGGCCTGGGGGTGGAAGAGAAATGGAAATGTAAAAAGACAAAAAAAAAGTATTGTGTAGCTGCTAAAGACATGAGCATCATACAGAGAGGATCATTTCCATAAAAATATGATACTCAGAACAGAGAGAATCCTTCAGCAATGCTGACACAGTGAATGCTGGAGGAACACAGTGATGGGCCACAATGTTATCTGATCTAATCTATTTAAACCTCACCTGCCCATCCCACCTGTCTTCCAGCTGGTCAAGGGCAGCCTGTGCTGGCCCACAAACTCGTTGCAGCAAAGGCTGGTCCTGTTTCTCACACAGAAGCAGATGCTGAAGCTCATATAACGATGTCTGAAAGGACTCAGAGCTGCATTTAAAAAAATTACATTTATTCAGAGATTAAACGTCTATTTTGGCCTTAAAAATAAAAATGAACACAGTCAAATAAAAGTGTTGCACTAAGGCAGAGAAAATAAATGTTGTTTTTACCAATAATTTCTGGAAATACCCTTCAAATATGTTGTTGAAGATGAATTAAATGATGCCCATTTGTTGAAAAATATAGGTGGCTTTGTAATATATAACCATAAAAATCAGGGAGCGGGTCTAAGGGTGTTTCTCGATGTCGAGGCGCCTGGCCTCGCGAGGTGATGTCTAGCGAGGCCAGGTGCCTTGCTTACGAGGACACTTTCCTTCCTTGGTCAAAGGAAACGGTTCAATAGAACAGACTTGCATCACGTGACCGCGGCTTCCACTATGAGAGGAGCATACAGCATGTGTTGGTATCAGATGCTAAGAGTCAGACAATATCGGTGTATAAGACATTGGTAAAAATATGTGGTTAATGTGTATTTGAGAATGCTGGGCTTTCTCTTAACCACATAGCATCAGTGGGACATTTGAGATAATTAACACCACCTTAATGAATGTCTCCTACGCTGAAACACTGTAGAAGATATTTAGAAGCTTTATGAAGAGCAGGGATGTCCAAACTTTTCAAGATGAAGGCCAAAATCATGAAGTAAAAACTCCTCACAGGCCACAAAAATTATTCTTTTCTTTAAGAATGCAAACATTATTTAATATTTTTAATTTGTTCTGCTCAAAAAGTACTTAAAATAGATATATTAGTAAAATGTGAACATTAAAATTTACAATATATGACTTTCTATCAAAGCCTCCTGGAGAAACTTCATTCCACAATTATAAAAATGACATTTCTCTCTCTCTTTAGGTGAGCTCCCCACCCCCAGGACTGGCAGAGCTCTGAGGTCATTTGTCAGAGTGGACATTCACAGGATTCCATCAGATTCTTGCAGGGCCACACTTTGAACACACCTGATGTAGAGCTTTGGCTTAAGCCTGGTTTATTCTTCTCCGTCAGCTCCGCAAGGGACAGACACGCACGGATTGACGGAAGTGTTTTGCTCTCATACTTCTCCGTCTCCTGGAGAGTGTTGCAAAGCAATTGTCCGGCAGGACAACAGAGGGCGTAGCGCTGTTCTGTGGTATCCTGTCATGTATCCGGTCCAAGATAATGTGTTTATATTGTGTTTTTTGTGTATATAAGAGACTTTTAACGTGGACATATTTGTCTCTCATTCTCCCACCTCTTCAGGCACTCCCCACCTCTAAACCCACGTTTCCTGTCGTTTCCGTCCACAAATAAAATGCTTGCTGCGCATCTTTTCACTCCTCCAGTCACGGGAGAATTAAACGTTCATATTTTTAGAGTTTTTTCGCAAGATATTCTTCAAGCTTCTCCGTGTCTGCCGCTAGTTATCCTCGGCTCTCTTTGCAATGGCGGCGCTGTAAACAACAGCGGCGTCCTGACCAATCACAAGCTTGCGTAATCCGTCTCGTTCGACAGATGTTTAAAAAAGTGGGCTCGACTCTGTACGTACTTGCGTGCCTGCCGGAGCCCTACGCAAGGACGGATTGTGGCGTTGCGTGTCTCCGCACTGACGCAGACGGAGACGCATAAATCAGGCTGAGGAGCCTCATCAATGTGTTTAAAGCCTCTTAGTCTGGTTTATAGCTCTTACTTGTGGCTGACCGGACAAAAGTGAAGGTAAAATCTGACAAAATACAGCTGAGCCAGTCATGTGGTTTGTGGAGAATCCTTACCAGGACTTTGCTTTGTGGTGCTTACATCTGGGTTTGGCTTCTTGTCTTGGAGTGATCTTCCTGCAAGAATCTGATGGAATCCTGTGAATGTCCACTCTGACAAATGACCTCAGAGCTCTATCAGTCCTGGGGGTGGGGAGCTCATTTAAAGAGAGAGAGAAATGCCATTTGTATCACTGACAAACACTAGATGAGGATATAGAACAGGAACTGTTCTGACCATCTGGAGAGAAGCAGTGCTCTCACACAGAGCCTTTCCTTCAGCGACCCTGATCAAAGACGAACCTGCATGCACTTATAGCGACATGCCCCGTTTAGCAGCGATGGAGCTTTGCAGTGTCCGGCCTAAAATTACAGACCATTTTCAGCCTCTGACGTCACGCTGTAAAGCCTTCTGCATTATGCTTAGTCACAGCCTCAGTGTGACCTACATGTCAGTGTTTGGATGGAGGTCTAGAGCTAGAGCGACACATAGAACACAAGTACAAACCACTGCATTTTCAAAAGAACTCCTCAAGTTTACGTACTGCATTCCTGAACAGGTGTAATATTTTTGAAAGACAAAAATAAATCTCTGTTATAACACTCTGGAGGGATCAAACAACATAAAAATCAGGATGTGAAGGAACTAAAGCAGGGATTTCCCCCTGACTTTTCCCTGGGGGTGTTTGTCTGATGTGTGTCATCTGATACCAAACATCCATAATGAGCTGTTTGTTCAAATATTTAAAGTAACTTTATGTTCATTGTTACTAAACATGCAAAGAATCATATATTGGCTTTGTATTATGAAAATATTTTTCTAAATGCTGACAGAAAAACTTTTTTTGATGCAGTTGTTACATCCTATCCAACGTGTCATTTTTTTGTAGAACTGATGGTTTTGTATTTCCACTTTAAGCTTAGGATATAAACTTTCACAATTCCAACTTCCTGTCCAAGGATCACTGGTGGTAAAAGTTAAAACAACACATCTCATAATTGTAAATAATGTTTGTGTTTTCAAAAGTCCTTTGGATAAAGCCAAAAAAAACTACTTTTTTGATCAGCCCCATCCATTTTGACACGCTCAAGGTGTCAGAACCCAAGTCCCCAAACCGGCCTCTCCCAGCTAGCTGGCCTCCACCATGGACCACGACCCCCAGCATGCCCCTCGCGGGGGTTCCCTCCACGTCGCACGTACGTCACTAACTGCGGCTATATACGGAAGTCGCCACCCCAGCTTTCCACTCAGTCATCGTTTCTTCGTATCCATGATCAGAGTTACCAATCTACAGATCCATCTCACAAACTCTCTGCTCACAATAAGTGTTCTTACTTACTTCTGGAAAACCCAGCACTTCCGTGTCACTTCATTGATGCTCGAACGCTCGGGGATTCCTAGGTTAAATCGCGAGCCAGCGTTTCACCGGCGCTCTCATTTCCGCATCGGTGAAACCACGCTCTCAACAAGCTCAGCTCCCGACCCCAGCCGACCGGTCTGACACAAGGATGCGCTCGATTATCATAAAGGCTCTAAGACAATCTTGTCAGATAATCCTACCATGTGTGGTGTCTTACGAGCACTCTGGTCTGCTTGGAAGGACGTTGGGACCACTCTGATCATAAATCAGGGTTTCAAACATGTTTGATTGTCTTGGTCTGATTTTCAAGGACAACCAAGCATGTCTGCATGTGAGGTGATGAAAATGCCAAGATTGTTTACTTCGAAGTTATATTTTATCTTGCAAAATTTCCCTGACTGACTCATGAAATGTTCATGAGTGAAACTGGTTCATGTGTAGTTTTTACCATGTTGCGTCTAGCGATATTAAGATTTCTATACTTCTGAGTTGATTACATTTTAAGGGTTTAGTGCAAATCCAACCGGTTTGCGAGCTATTTTGTTAACACTGCAAGCAAAATGGAATATTGGCAGCTGTCAGTAAGTTTGTAATGTCCTTACCTACCAGACTCCTAAAGCTCTTTGCATGATGAACTTTAGCAGATAAGTTAAGGCAGATGAGGGTATAAGAAAGTACCAACAAACACAATGTCTCTAAATAAGATAGAATGGTAAATTGCATTGAAACAAAAAAAAGGTAGAATGTCTTCTCCAGGTCAGGGATGAGGTCTTGCTTCAAGTGGAGGAGTTTAAGTGTCTCGGGGTCTTGTTCACGAGTGAGGGAAAAGTGGAGCTCGAGATCAAAAGGGGGATTGGTGCTGCGTCTGCAGTAATCCAGGCGTTGTACCAGTCTGTCGTGGTGAAGAGAGAGCTGAGCGGGAAGGCAAAGCTCTCGATTTACCGGTCGATCTCCTGCCCTCACCTATGGTCATGAGCTTTGGGTAGTGACTGAAAGAATGAGATCACGGAAACAAGCAGCTAAAATTAGTTTTCTCCGCAGGGTGGCTGGGCTCTCCCTTAGAGATAGGGTGAGAAACTCAGTCATCTGGAAGGGGCTCGGAGTGGACCCGTTGCTCCTCCATGTCGAGAGGAACTAGATGAGGTGGCTCAAATAGCTGGTCAGGATACCTCCTGAATGCCTCCCTGATGAGGTTTTCCTGGCGCGTCCAACCGGGAGA